CATGGTTTGCTGCTGTTGGTGCTTATTGTTATAATATATTGAAACAGATGCTATTTTTAACTAAAGTGTACACTTTCAGGCTGTGCAGATGCAGAGTATTGTCGCAGTAGTGCAGGCTACGCAGTATGTCTTAGTGGGTGAAAATACAGACTCACATATTGGGAATGGAAATAGAAGATATCACATTCAAGGCCTTGGAGAAGGTCCAAAACTTTAAAAAGTAATTCTTAATACATGTGTTGCAGGACAATTACCTTGCAATTTTGTAAATCACTGGAGTTTTAGGAGAATATTGAGTATTGGATCTTATTATGACAGAAGTGATTTAGAAATGTACTGTTGCCAAATTGCTTTCAAGAAATTTGATTTTTAGATTTTGGGGTTTATTTTCCCAGAACTTTGGCCAACAAAGCATATTTTTGGTCCGTTTTCTGCTGTTATAGCAAGAGAGCTAGACTGGGTACCTGATAATGAGCAGAAATTGTTTGTCATGTGGGTCTGGAGGCTGGAAATTCAAGGCTTGAGGGACCACATCTGGTGAGAGGCATCTTTCTGTTTTGTAGAAGATATCATGCAAATGAGAGAGCCAGAGAGAAGAAATGAGCTCACCCTCTACAGGGATTCCACTCACATGATAACAGACCCATTCCTGAGAGGCTGGCATTCATCCATTCCTCAGGACATAGTCCTCATGGCCTAAAAAGTCCCACCTCACAGAACTTGCCTTGGAGAGGAAGTTTCTACCACATGAACTTTGGGGGAAATATTCAAATTGTTGCAGTTCTCAAGTGTAAGAATCTATGCTAATCTTTATGCTCCTTTAGAGCGTAGCTTGTGGTTTGTTCACCTGTGTATCCTTCCAAGTGCTTCCTATGGATATGTTAGAAGCATTTTCTGTGTCAAATGGCTTCTTTCCAAATGATCCATACAGTAATGAGTAGTTATTTTTGACTGCTGAGACACATCTGTAGTGCGTAATTGTGTTATAGGCCTCAATGATCAGGCTTTACATAATTTTATTTTTAGCTTATGTTTGTAGTTTCGTTTATCACCATGAAGATCATTTGCCCTACAATGCTATAGCTCTATTTTCCCTCTTAAGACGTTAAAATTCTACTTACAAAGTTACAGTTTTAAGAAATGTTTGGAATTAGAAGTGTTTTTAGATTTCTGGGTGTTTATTTCAGAACACTTGTATCAGTATAACATATTTTGCAGAAAGGACAAAAGTGTAAGTATGTAGGGATTGATGATTTTATGTAGATTTTAAAAGATTGTTTATTTATTTGAAAGACAGAATGAGGGACATTGACTGGTTCATTCCCCCAATGGCTACAATGGACTGGACTGGGCCAGGCGAAATCTAGGAGCTTCTTTCAGTCTTGCCTCTGAATTCAGAGGACTAAGCAATTGGGTCATGTTCTGTTGCTTTCCATGGTGCTTTAACAGGGAGCTGGATCAAAAATAGAGCAGTAATGACTTGAATGATGCCCATATGGGATGCCAGCATTGTAGGCAGTGGCTTACCCATGATATACAATACTGGTCATTACATAGTATTTTGTTAATGCACCTACATGAACTTGTCAGGAAAAATCAGATATAGAATTTTCCACTTGTGACACAATGTTGGTGCTTTGAAAGTTTGAGATTTTAGGGCATTTTGAATTTTAAGTTCAGGGATGCTTAATTTATAGGTATTATTTCCCTTCAAACTCAAGAGAGAGATGTAGAGAAAACTTCAAAAGCATTCTGGCGTCTAAGTTAGAGAAGATCAGTTAGACCTGAATTTTGATTTGAATTTGGGGAGTGCTTTTCTTGGTACAGATTTCCCTGACTTGGGGTAGGTATAATGCTGCTGCCACACCTGCAGTGAGTCAATCAAATGAGAACATGTTCTTGCTAACTTGATCCATTCATTTTGAGGGAGAGATGAAGATTTTTGTGCCACTTTTGGCTGTGTCTGCACCTTTGTACTATGTTTTATTAGAGTTCTCAGAGACTTCAGCCATTATTGATTTCCTTGCCTGAGGGTCTATTACCCGAGTTGCTTCAGCCTAAGGAGGCTGTGCAACATACTCCCAAGGGCGCTTGTGAACATGCTCAGAATGTCCCCACCCATCCATCCAGGAGAAGCTTGGGGACTTTGGCATTTCATGTGGCTAACGAAACATTCAGAACTCTGGTGTGCAGGTAGACAGGAAATGGTCTCTGCTGAGACACTAAAATGTGTTAGGAAATGCAGAAGGCATGTTCACTTGTATAAAATTATTTCATTTGTCTTCTTTTACTTTTTCCTTTTCTCTCATATTTGAACCCATAGTCTGTCCAAGGAGCATGTGGCTGAGTGTTCAGCTTACACAAATGGTTTTCATCTTGGATTTACTGGTATGAGGTTGATGCAGTGTGTTTTAAAATTCTTCTAAGGGCGCTCTGATGTTCTCTCCTGCCCTCAGACCAGCCTCTTCTCATACCTCTTAGGGACCAAACTAGGGTAAGCCCATTTCCCAGCTGATGAGAAGCGTTTAGTGCCTCCTCTAAGTTACTAGCCAGGATAGTGATCTGTTTCCATGGCAACCTAGCTGTCACTTTACCAGCTGTCTTATTCATGGGTAGATGTAAGCAAGACCTGAAAAGGCTTGTTGGTGCCTTAGATCAGCATGAACCACTCAGAACTGTTAGATCTTTCCTACTACTACTAGCAGCATTTTAAAAATGTAACAAAAGGGTAAATCTAACAAAACCTCAATCCCCTAGAGTTAAAATCTTATACCTTTCTGAGAGCTTTAACTTAAAACTTCATTCATAGCCTTTAATGCTGGGAAAAATAAAACTTTTTTGTTTAGTTTATTTTTGTATTTATTTTGTGTTTACTTACTGGAAAGGCAGATATACAGAGAGAAGGAGAACCAGAGAGAAAGATCCTCCATCCACTGGTTCCCCCTGCCCCCCCCCCAACTGGCCACAATGGCCAGAGCTGAACCAGGAGCATCCTTTGGGCCTCCCGCACAGGTGCAGAGCCCCAAGGATTTGGGCCAACCTGTAACGCTTTCCCAGGCTACAAGCAGATTGCTGGCTGGGAAGTGAAGCAGCCAGGACACCAACTAGTGCGTATATGGGATCCTGGCACATTCAAGGCAAGAATTTTAGCCACTGTGCCATCATGCCAGGCCCCAAATCAATCAGTCTTCCTTCCTTCCTTTGTTTGTTTGTTTGTTGTTTCTTTCTTTCTCTCTTCTCTTCTCTTCTCTTCTCTTCTCTTCTCTTCTCTTCTCTTCTCTTCTCTTCTCTTCTCCTCTCCTCTCCTCTCCTCTCCTCTCCTCTCCTCTCCTCTCCTCTCTTCTCCTCTCCTCTCTTCTCCCTTCCCTTCCCTTCCCTTCCCTTCCCTTCCCTTCCCTTCCCTTCCCTTCCCTTCCCTTCCCTTCTCTTCTTTTTTCTTAGTTAAAAACTTATGAAATCACAGGACTCTTAACCAGTCTAACTACTTAATCATTTTTACTGTTTTAAGCCATGTCACTATCTTAGTGTTTTTTTTTTTTAATGGTACAATTCCATAGGGTCTGAGTTTTCCCTATGCCCTCCCCCAAATCCCTCCCCCCATATTATTACAACAGTAGAGTCCTTCTTAGGCAGTTGTATGCCCATTATTCTGTTGTTTAAGTGTGTCTTGACATTGCTGGTACTAACAATGCCAGACAGTCCTACACCCTATTGTCAAGATATATCCAACAGTTTTATTGGAAGTCAGTCTTTGATTTGGAAGTAGAGGTGCATACTACATTGTATCTTCACATCTGGATAGGACATTCTCTATTATACTGTCACTATATATTCCCTTAAATAAGAAGCCATGAAATAAAGTCAACAGGAATGAGGTTAAAACAAAATATTTGCAGCACCATGGAGTTAAGACACATGCTGCTGAATAACCAACATGGCAGTGAAGAAATGAAAAAAAAAAACACAGAAGCCTCTTGGGTAAAGTGGTGCTACTGTGTGATCTGTGAGTCAATGAAGAATTTGGTAAGAGAAAAGAAACTATTTGGAAGAAATGAAAATAAAAACAAAAATATCAAAACCCATGGGTTGCAGCAAAAACAGTATGGAAAGAGTTACTGATTTTACATTTTGCTTGAAGGCTGCCTTATTTCAGAGAGAACATATGGTATTTGTCCTTTTGGGATTGACTTATTTCACTAAGCATAATGATCTCTAGTTGGGGCCATTTAGTTGCAAGTGGTATAATTTCATTCTTTTTAATGGCTGAGTAGTGTTCTGTGGAGTAGATGTACCATAGTTTCTTTAACCACTACTCTGGATGGACAGCTGGGTTCTTTCCATATCTTTGGCTATTATAGAGTGTGCTGCTGTAAATATAGGATTACAGGTGATTTTCTCATATGCAGTCTTCAATTCCTTTAGATATATTGCTAGGAGCATGGTAGCTGGGTCATGTGGCAGGTGTATTTGGAGTTCTCTAAGCGCTCTCTATATCTATTATCAGCATTTAAATAGTGAAAAATATACAATATGTAAGTCTTGGAGACCCTGAAGGGAAGATGTGATTATGATTACAAATATAAGCAGCAGTTCTGCCTCTGCAGTTTTATTACATATTTAACTACTATTCAGGATTTTTCTCTCACAAAAAAAATTAGGGGCACAGATGCTAATGTGCCTGGGAATGGGCCAAATGCTGGGTTTCCTGCCACCCACGTAGGAGACCCAGTGGAGTTACTTGCTCCTGGCTTCCACCTGGCAAAATACCAGCTATTGCAGACATTGGGAGGTGAATCATCAATTAGAGGATGTCTCTCATTCTGTCATACCACCTTTCAAATATACAAGCAAATTTTAAAAAATAAATAAGTAAACAATGTAAAAGTTAAACATATTTTGGAATATGATGTGATATATATATATGTATATATATTACATAATACTTCAGTCAACTCCACATCTGTGTCTGTGTAACAAAAGCTGTTTCTCTTCAATACCAGGCATGCAAGAGGCCTCCATGAAGCTCACCGAGTCACTGCATGAGGTCTATGAGCCAGACTGGTATGGACGGGAAGACGTGAAGATGGTTGGCGAGGTAAGGTCCAGGATGGTCTCACACCAGAGGCCCGGTGGCTTCTGCAGCGCTCTCACCAAATCGTGCTTCTTCTGCCTTTCCCCCACCTTGCCAGTTAAATGCTTTAATCTGGAGCAAGCCTGCACACCCAGGAGGCATCATGCACTTTTGTTTTTTGGATCAACCCAAATTCATAGCACAAGGTGAAGATAACCATGGAAAAATGTAAAGCTATGGGCACATGATCATTTTTTCTTTGAAATATCAATGGCATTTAATTGGCAGGAATTAACAGTTCATCCCTAGCAGAACTGAATTACAGTGTGAGTCTGTGCACTAACTGCAATAAGATGCCCTTCATCCCCCTCTGCACCATCCCTCCCTGGATTCAGCGGTACAACTCAGCACAGCCATTCCCCTTCACCAGCTGCTACTCTACTCATTGAAGAGAAGGCCTCAGAGCACATCTAGCCTGCTCAAAGGAGCATATTTCAGGACAGATTTGGCCCTGCACATGTCATTATGTCTGAAATCCAACCTTTAGCTAAGGGCTTCTGGCTGATGGGAGGTGAGTGGATGTTGCTGTGGTATATAAATAAAATACGTCAGAGACAAGAGTAGCACTGTGTAACATTGGGCTGGTTCTTTAAATATGTTTGGCTTTAGTTTGCTCATCTATGAAGTTCAAATAGTAATTGTACATAGACATTGTATGACATAGATATTTAAGAACATTGTGTTTTGTGTCACCTGGTCAGAGCTCGGTATATGTTATGATTACCAATAGGAGAAAGCCATCAGCTTTGGATTCCCTGTTACAGCCTTGTTCCAATGAAGAGCCATTGTTTGTTGTGTCATCTTTCTTTGGAGAATGACTGTACTTCCTACAGGTACCCAAGGCCTAGGAAGTGGCAGCCTGTGCTCACAGAAAATGATGAAATGAGCTGAAGGACTGCCGCTTTGGGAAAGATGAGTAAACAGGAATTCTGGGTAGCTCCCTGACAGTTCTGACACCATGACCTTGATCATCATGACCTCATTAGGAAGGAGAGCTTTATTTGTGAGAAAGACCCTTAGTGAGTGTATTACATCTTTGGAACACTTTTATGATTTAGGTTTGGCAAAAGTGGCTTCCATGTTATCATTTTCAAGTGCGAATTTCAAATTTTTAAGTAATTGCATCTTAAATTTCATAGGTATAAAGACAGCATGTTTGAACATCATGGAGTTAAATACTTTTTAACCTTCTGATATTGGTTCTTTTTTGAAAAAAAAAAAACAAGATAGAAACTGATCTCTCACATCAAAGAATTTGGATATTGGCATCCGAATATGGCACAGTGGACATAATTTTGCCGTTCTCAGCTTACCCTCTCAGGTCAGTGGTTCTCTGAGCTCTGGCCACCAGCTCCCATTTATGCATTTCCTTCAACTACAAGGCAGAAGTTGACTTGGAAGGAGGGCTGACTTCGACTTTTCATGACACTTCTTGAAAGTACATACCATTGGCCAGACTTAGATACACGGCTACACCTATATACAGTGGACTCTGAGAAGTAGAGTCTGTATCATAGGTGACTACCCAGCTGAAGTTAAAAGTTCAGTTACAAAGAACAAAGGGGAGAACAGTTTTAACCACATCTGTCAGGAGAGCCAAAATGTAAAGAAGCATAAAGATGACACACTTGAGCACCTGTGGAATACTTGTAACCTTGTGAGTACTCTACCTCATCAACACATTTATTAGGGAAGTGGAGCCTGAAGGGTGGTTCCCAAAATCATAGAACTGAGATGTGGATCATACTCTGGAATAACAGCTCATGGACTTTTAGGGACTTTGAAGTCAAGGAGACAGATGTGGGTTGAAACCTAGGTTTGCCATCTATCACTTGTGTGGCCTTGATTATGTTATATGTAGCATCTTTGAACTTCAGTCTCTTTTTCTGTGTAGTGGTAATAGTGAAATCTTTCCTCATAAAACTATTGTAAGAACCAAGGAATTACAGAGGTTCGTGCCCACACACACATCAGCCCATTGCCTTGAAAGAGATATAATAGATGTAGTAATTTTCATTGTGTGCTTATTGTAGTCTATACTCTGTAAATGGTAAGGCTCTTTCCTATACAACTGTACATTTTCTGCTTTTTAAAGAAGGTTTCAGTAATGATTTCTGTTTAGGTTGTCTAGAATGGCTTCTATTTTCACAGATTGCTTCAGAAGCAAGTTGTCTCAATGGATTTCTGCCTTTTTTTGTTTTAAAGATTTATTTATTTTTATTGCAAAGTCAGATATACAGAGAGGAGAAGAGACAGAGAGGAAGATCTTCCATCTGATAATTCACTCCCCAAGTGAGCGCAATGGCCAGTGCTGTGCCAATCTGGAGCCAGGAGCCAGGAACCTCCTCCAAGTCCCCCACACGGATGCAGGGTCCTAAAGCATTGAGCCGTCCTCGATTGCTTTCCCAGGCCACAAGCAGGGAGCTGGATGGGAAGTGGAGCTGCCGGGCATAGAACCGACGCCCATATGGGATCCCGGCGTATTCAAGGCGAGGACTTTAGCTGCTAAGCCACGCCGCCAGACCCACCAAAGCCTTTTACTCACCAAAGCCCATCTGTAAGAATAGAGCATCCTTTGGAAACATCTACATTCTTTAGTAACTCCGTATTAGAAATGCATTTTTTAGTGAGCTGAGCTTTTACATGTCTTACATTGTTACTTAGAACTGGTGGCCCAATTATGTTGGAATGTTACTATATTATATAAGCCACATGTGTTCTAGAATCTGATATCTTATAAAATATTACTTATCTAATTTTGTAGATCAGATTTTTTTTGCAAGTTTTCTGAAAAGTATCTAGTTTAACTAGTCCTGCAGCTATCTCTTTATTTCTGTTTTTCTTTTAGAAATGTGATGTACTGTGGGAAGACTTCCATCAAAAACTCGTGGATGGATCCTTGCTGACACTGGATACCTACCTGGGCCAATTCCCAGACATAAAGGTATTTTCCTGTATCTATAAATGGAGAATTAAATGGTCTTATACAGTTGTTGTAACATGGGGAAGATAAGAATTCAAAGTCCTCAGCCTGACATCAAAGATAAATGGTTGCCTTTCATCTATTTAAGCATGAAATTCTTAATCTGTTCTATCAGCTTGAAATGAAATGTAGTTACAAAAATTATTTTTCCCCTTTAGTGAACTACTTTTTTATTTCTCTATAGAAATATTTTTAGGCCTGTAGATAAGAAATCACACATCAGAAGAAGTAAAAATTTCCTGTCTTCTTTTTATTCAGTGTTATTTCATAGCATTTGACCAGGACGTCCATTAAAATAAACAGTGATCACAGAAGCTTCGTTTCAAACACAGGAGCAGACTCAGATCATTTCCCATTTTGCATGCGCTCATTGTGCACCTGAAGATTTCTTCTCTCCTTGAAAGTTTTAGATTCAAACTAAAATGTGGACATAGATACATTTCAGCTACATATGCCTTTAGACTTAAACACTTGTCTTATTTGACACTTGGATCCATACATTGCAAAGCTAAATATGTAAATGAAGGATTGAATCATACTGATTTGGAGTTGGCTCTGGAGGTCAGGGAGGTTTTTAAGCCATCTGTGGAGTTCTGTTAGCAAATTGTTAGCATTACATGTCTGCCCTCTCTACACCCTACCACTCATGAAGACAGTTGTGTTCCCTGCTTAAGTTCGGGGCCCAGCTATCTTTTCTATAGAGTGAGGAGGATGTGAATCAGCATTAGCTGACATCTCAAGTGTCTTGTTGGGTGTCTTCTGCAGCTTTATTCCTCTGGTATCTGGCCTTTGTGGTTGTGATCGAACACCAACAAGCCGTCTGCAGGAGTGTGTTCTGGCTTTTGTAATGAGATGTGGGTGAAGTTTCCTAGTGAAGACAACACTCGTAATGATAATTTGGATATATATATTCCATACAGAATGCCCAAAACTAGTTTGTAAAACATACAAAGTGGGTTTGGAGGTACTAGACAAGATCCTAGATGGATCAGACTAAATATATTGGCTGTGTTAGCAAGAAACCACAGGGCACAGATCCAAAGCATTGATTTTTCAATGATGTTGTTTCAATAAACAGCAAAGTGTTTTATTGAGTAATTGGATAAATACAACCTAATGAAAGATATAAATCAGTTATTTTCAAATCTCTGAGAAATTTGACACTTTTTTCTTTGAATTCCATAAGACTACCTACACCAATCTCCAGGGAGTATGTTTGGGATGTATTTAATCTTGCCTTGGGATTTGTGACATCTGTTGAATAATCTCAAAATAAGTATCACATTTGACAGCATTGTTTCTTGCATGATAAATTTATTAAAAATCATCTGTTTCATTTTGTTTTTATTGTATTTTAATAAAAACACTTAACAAGAGACCTACCCATTTAGTGGAGTCTGAAGTTTTATCTGTAGGTGCAATGCTACACAGCACCTCTCTAGCACTTAATCTTACATGACTGGATGTTGTCTGTTTGTCAAAAGCTCCTCATTTGCAATGCCACACAAATCCACCATTCTGTGTTCTTTGATCTGTGTGTTTGATTATGTTTTCTTATCTTCTTTGGAAGAATGTCAGTTAGTACCTTTGATAGCATGTTTTGGGTTATTTTGTTTATTCTTTTCCTTTCTTTCTCCCTCCCTCCCTCCTTCCCTCCCTTCCTTTCTTCTTTTCTTCCTTCTTTCCTTCCTTCCTTCCTTTTTGACTTCTAAGAGTTCCTTCAGTATTTTGGAAACTGATCCCCCGCTCCCCAATTTGTGATCCACAAGCCTTTTCCTCTTTCAGATGGTTGTGTTTTACCCTCTTGATGTTTTCCTTTGCCATGTTCACTTTGATGTAGTCTCACCTACCTGTTTTTGCATTTGTTGCCATGCATTTGGTGTCAAGAATAGCTGAGATTGTTTGTTCTAAACTTTTTTTTTTGCTTATAAAATGAATGATTACTCCTATGTTTTCTTCTAGGTGATCTGCAGTGTCAAATCAGTCTTGAACTCATTTTAGTGAATTTTTGTGCATGATGTAAGGGTCTAGATGTAGTCTTTGGCATGTTTATATCTGGATTACTTAGCACCATTTATTGAAGAGACTGACTTCCTTTCCCCAGTGTGTATTCTTGTCTCTTTTGTCCAACATCATTTGATTGATTCCCATCCCCCCGGCCCTGCTGGGCTCTTTATTCTGCTCCATTATTGTATATATGAGGTGCTGTGGTTTGGATATTAGTTTAAATGCTGAATATTCCTAAAAGGCTTTGTGCTAGAGGCTTGGTTCCAATGCTGCCAGGAGATGATCAGACTTTTAGAAGGGCCTCATGGGTGGTCAGTCCTTAGATCATTAAAGGTACACCAAACTGTCTTACTCAAAGAGGCCAGGCAAAGACGACTGCTCTTTGAAAATGCATTTATTCAATTGAAAGGCAGAGTAGCATAAAGAAAGGGAGAAACATTTATCTTCCAGCTGCTGGTTCATTCCTCCAATGGCCACAGTGGCCAAGGCTGGGCCAAGCTGAACCCAAGAACTTGGAATTTCATATGGATCTGCCTCATTAGCAGGCACCGGATCAGGAGTGGTGTAGCCAAGCCGTAAGCCTGTGCTCATACAGGATGCTGATGCTATAGAAGGTGACTTAACTTGCTTGTTATGCCGCAGCACAAGCCCTGAGTTTGCTAGTGCTTTGCTGAAGTTTTTCTGTTTTATGTTCATTCTTGTGAGGAAGCTCCCTTTAGCTTTTTTTTTTTTTTTTTTTTTTTTTTTTTTAAGAAAACTAAGTTCAGTGATAACAGTCTTCTTTCTGTTTTGGGAAATCTTTGCCTCTGCCTTATCTTTGAAGGGCAGTTTAACTGAGTGTATTATTGGTTGGAAGTTTTAAAGTTTTTATTCTGTATTTTTAGTTACATTATGTATAACTTCCTGGCTCTTTATATTTCTTAATTGTTTTGTTTTTGTTTTTTTCTTGCTTCTGTGACCAAATAATTTTTCATGAGTTGTTTTTGAGTTTACTGAGGTTTTCTTCTGTTTGAAAGGTTTTTTAAAACAGCTCTAGCTACCATTAAGTGTTTTTAAAACTGTCTCTTTGTTGAAAAATCTCACCTTGTACATATTGGTTTTCCTGACATCAGTGAGTGCTTTTATGGTAGTTACTTGGACTTGCTGTCCGGGAAATCATTTATTTCCATTTCATTAGGGAAAATTTCAGCAGATTCATATCTTTTTCCTTTGTTTGGAAAACTCATTTCCCTGTTTTTCCATTTTATTTAACTTTGGCTGTTGTCAACCACATATTTGGCAAGAGTCATGTTTTTCAGCATTCATACACATTCCCATACTGGATATCTTTACCAGTAGTCCTTCTTGAGAATTTTGGAACATTCTTAAACTTTGTAATATTTCTTCTTATTATTATTATTATTTTGAAAGTCTGATTTACAGAGAGGAGAGAAAGAGAAAAAGGTCTTCCATCTGCTAGTCTATTCCCCAAGTGGTGGCAACAACCAGAGCTGAACCGATCCAAAACCAGAAGCTTCTTCTTCTGGGTCTCCCACATGGGTGCAGGATCCCAAGGCATTGGCCTTCCTCTACTGCTTTCGCGAATCACAATCAGGGAGCTTGAAGGAAACTGAAGCAGCTGGAATACAAACTGACACCCGTATATGATCCCAGCACATGCAAGGCAAAGACTATCCATGAGGCCACTGCGCCAGGCTCAACTTTTGCAGTATTCTAACTGCTTTCTTTGTTCCTTGAAATTCCTATGCTTGTAGAAAATTTGGCCATGTTAGGGATGGTGTTGTGGCAAAGCAGGAAAGTAATCATGCTCAATGCCAAAATTTTGCATGGGCATCATCTTTTATCCCTGCTGCAATATTTCCCATCCAGCTCCCTGCCAATAGCCTGAGAAAAGCAGTGCAAGATGGCCCAAATGCCTGAGCCCATGCCATCCATATGGGAAGATCAGATGAAACTCCTGATTTCAGCCTGGCCCAGCCCTGTTTATTGCAGCCATCTAGGAATATACCAGCAAAAGAAAAAAAAATCTGTCTTTCTGTGTCTTTTCCCTCTCTGTGTGTAATTCCACCTTTCAAATAAATAAATAAATCTTAAGAAAAAAGAAAATATGGACATGTCAGAGCTGTAAGACAAACAAAAGTGAGCCCATTCTTGACAGACAGCCTCTTCAAAAATTGGGTCCTTGGATATATGCTCACCACTAGGGGAGAACCTGAGAGCTTTCACCTGTCTGTTCTCAGCTGTGTAGACTTTTCCAGTTGGATGGTAAATTCAACTGTTAGCTTTTATCTCTTTGGGTTCCAGGAAGCTAGATTATGCTGGGTTTCATCGGTGTTCCAAGACATGTACAATTTTAGTATTTTGATCAGACTCTGATGAAAGGTGGTGATGTTGGTCATATAATCCCCTTCTGTATGTCCAACATACAGGAAAAGCTGGGAGTTTGGGTTTATTGCCATTCACTCTTTTCATCCACTTTCCAGGAAAGTGCCTACAGAACTCTGCAAAACTCTGGAAAGTGTTCAGTCCTTTGCTGTATCCCCTATGGACCCCAGGAGACTATTATCTGTTAGCTCTCATAACCTCTCTGATACAAGAGAGAAGGAAACCAGACTCTCCAAGAAGGAGCTGGGAAAGTTGGTGTGCCTGGTGTGTTGTTCAAATATTTGGCTCCTCAGGAAGAAGCTACAAATTGCTTTTGCTTGTTCATTTCCTCCTCATTCTGCACTAAACCAAAGGGAAGGGCAGACACAAGTGGCTGCACACATGTCAAATCACTGTTTATTTCCTGTTAGACCCCAGGAGGCTAGTAGAGGATTAGGGAGGTGAGGCAGAAGTTACTACCTTCTTTCGTGCATACGTGCCATAAAAATTGGAATATTATATGTGTACGCCAGCCCCTCTTCAATGAGACAGTAGGATCTAGAAATTCTCTCTTGGTTTTATTGGGTTTGGAGTTATTGTTAGAGGGTGTTTCTGCTTTGCCTATATATTTTGATGTGACTGGGCTGACACTCACCTTGGGAGTTGAAACTGTTTCACAAATTTAAGGTTTTCTCAAAAAAGAAATTGATCTATGTGATGCTGTTAAACTGGTATGTTCATGGCGGGAAAGCAGTCATCTTTTTGCTTCATCTTTCTGACTTCACTTTTACGGCATAGCAATTCAGTCTCCAGAAACAGTAATAATAAATTAGGAATGGATAGGGGGAAGCTATGTTTTAATACTTGAAAGTTCCGAACCAACTTGAATGGCTTTATTCCTGTGACAAATACTCATTATATAATATGATGAAGCAAAGGAAGGCTACAGCTGACTGAAGAAGCAGACATTTGAAGAGTTGCTGAATTTTAGAAATGAAAACAGGTATCAAGAAATGTGAAATATTAGTTGTCATGAAACTGCTTAGACGCATTTATTTAGTAATTGGCCATAATCTCTAAGAGGCATGTGGTTTCAAAAGACAAACACACAGAGAAATACCTGAGAGGAAACAGAGCAGGATTAACATAACATTGTGATGAATAATGTGGCTGATCTTTTTCATTTGTTTCATATTATAAAGAACATACTAGGAAGTTTCCTTAAGGCATGATTGGGATCACATAAAATAATTATCCTCTATTTATTGGACCATCTAATGATTTGTGAATATCATCTAAGATGCCCTTAAAATCAATGAAATACATGTCAGGTTTATGTGCATTATGGACAACAGTTTAATCTACTGCTCCTTCTGCCCCCTCTCTCACTCTGGCTCTGGCTATCTCTCTCTTTTTCTTCCCTCCACCTGCTTATCTGTCCACATTTAGGAAATTGGAGCAAATAAAAAGACTATCAACCAAGATACAGAATTGTGAAATCATGTAACACAACAAACAGCTGATAAAAATGACAGTGTTTAACTTGGAAATGAGATCACTTGGGATTACAGAGTAGACGTGTAGCTCTATTTATAGAAAGACTGTTCGAGAAAAATGAAGTTGTTCAATATTCACTGATTTTAGTGAATGAGAGGAGTAGGTATAGACTCTATCACTTCAAAAAGTTAATTCTAAGTGATTGTGTAATGAATAGTTATTGAGAAATTGAAAGAAGAAAATATGATTGAAAATACTGAGTAGAGAATTTTCAAAGCGTATAGAACAATTGACTTCCTTGGTTTCCATTAAAATCAACAGGCCAAGTGCAATCAACCTCAGGCAGATTTTTAAAATATTTACTGCAGTCCAACAGTGGAGTGTGTGAAGTGCCATTCATGGGGAGGTGATGCTTGCCTTTCCAAATGTGGTTGGCAAGTCACTGTGCCTTGTGGTTCCTATTATGCAGCATTGACATCTAAAATCAATGTTATAATAAGAGCCTGCTTCTCACCACCTCACGCAGGCTTACAGCTGTGAGCAGTTATTGTAAAATGTAGTTCAGATTCTACCTTGGAGGACATGCCTGAAAGCTAAGGATGTATTTACTGCAATGTGCCAAGAAAAAATTCCAAATTTGAGTTGTAACTGCATTTAAAAAAATTCATGATAAATTATTAACTGCAGAAATTTAATACACAATGGGACATCTAGGGAAATGTTAATTAAACTTGTAATTTAATTAAATCTGTTCTTGGATGCTTAAATAAGAATTGTATCACATTCCATCTAAAAAGGTTTATATGTTCTTTTTAGTGCCAACCTAAAATAAGAGATTTCCCCCCCTCAGGTCACTTAAATATCAGATAGGCGAGGGATTCATGTTGATTTGGTTTTCCAGTGCCAAAATGTATGCCTCAATATGAATGATGACCTCTAAAATAGCCTAAATAAGCCTATCCTCTTTAAATGACTCTTCAGTTACATGAGAAAATGAGTAAAATTTTTCACTTGCTATTAAACAAAAATAAGATTACTTGGTGCACTCTTTTCACCTTATTTTCAGACATAGAGGAAATTGAATTGTGGCTGAGTTTAAATATCCAGCTCATCGCCAGAAAACCAAGATTTACTCCTTGGCAGATACTGAAGACATACTCAGGACAGAAAGCAAGCCGCTCAAGAAGAGCGCTCAGTGTTTGCATTCAGCCATAGAGTGCTCCTTCTTGGTCTTGTCATACACAGGATCTCTGTTGTCCCTGTCACTGGCCTTGAGCAGGAGTTCCATTCCCCACCCTGGCATGAGCAAGCCAGCTCTTGGCCCTGGGGAGGTTTTGTTACCCCTTTCCTGGTTGAGGTTTTTTTTCCCCATCTACCTTCCCATGTATATTGACTATTGTTTGCATGTATCCCAATGGCCAAAGGATTTTCTAGCCATCTGCCAGTGTCAGATGGACTTCCTTCTTCTGCTCTTCCAAAGCAGTTTTGTGAACAAGTCATGGTTGCCCTGCTTGTGAACCAGCTCTCTGATAATGTGTCTGGAAAAGCAACACTCTAGGTCTTGGGCCCTTGCCACCCACATGAGAGACTCAGGAGACACTCCTGGCTGCTGGCTTTGGATCAGCCCAGCTCCAGCCATTTGGATTATTTTAGAAGTCAGTCATTATCTAGAAGACCTCTCTCTTTCTCTCCTTCCCTCCCTCCCTCCTCCTATTTATCTTGCTTTTGCTCAAATTCCTTCCTCTCTCTCTCTTTTTCTCTATGTAACTGACCCTCAAAATTAATAAATGTTAAAGCATTATAATATAAGCATACCTGAAAGATTTGAGAAAATTGAGTTAAATTGCAGGTTTTTCTTTTAAATCCATGTCTATGAGTGCTCTACAAGAAGTTCATGTGAAAACATAGGAAAAAACTACGTATGGATTTCTTTTTAAAAGTTTTATTTATTTCAAAGGCAGAGTTAGAGTGAGGGAGAAAGACTGGTCTTTCATCCACTGATTCCTTCCCTAAATGGCCACAATAATTGGGAATGGTCTAGGCCAAAACCATGGAATCAGGAGCCAGGAACTTCTGCTAGGGCCTCCATGTGAGTGCCGAGTCCCAAGTATTTGGGCCCCTCTGCTGGTTTCCCAGGTATGTTAACAGAGAGCTGGATTGGAAGTGGAGCAACTAGGACTGGAACTGGCATTCATATGGAATCCCAGCTCTGCAGACAGTGGGCTAATTTTCTATGTCACAGTGCTGGTTCCCTACATATGGATTAAAAAAAAAATAAGCAATGTATAATTCAATTTGCATGAAACCTTTGAAGTAATCACTGATAGTTGAACATAGCCTTCACAGTGGAGCACATTGCATCTGATTTTGCTGATTTGCTGAAATTCCAGCTCAGCTCCTCTCCCATCATTATCTTCAGCAGCTGTTGGCGTAGGAAGCCTTTTGGGACTAGTCCATCAAGGGAAACTCATGACTCTGTCCCTGTCTCAGTGCCTTTTGCTTTCCTGTTGGCAGAATCGCATCGCCAAACGCAGCCGGAAGCTTGTGGACTACGACAGTGCCCGCCATCACCTGGAAGCTCTGCAGAGCTCCAAACGGAAGGATGACAGTAGAATCTCAAAGGTATGGGTCTAGCTCATGGTCAGTGCCACTCTGCATATCATAGGGCCCTGAGAGCTTTGCTTTTAAAACTAACATGTTTAGTTTTAAAGGATATTAGAATGAGGGCAGAATTTAAATGAACAAGATACTTGCATATTTCTTTTCCTTTTTTATTAAATTGGGATTTTTCATATTATAGTAGGGTTCACATTGTAGAGTTCACATGGGTAACAATGACTCACATATTATAATCAGAATACACTTTAGGCCCTTGTTCAGTTTATTCTCTCTCTCCTAATATAATAGCCTGTTTCTACAGAAAGGTGAAGCAAGCTGCTTAGTTCCCTTCATGAGTAAACTCGCATTTCAATGCCAAGAATGTATTCAATGCCTTCCCTATATATTTTTCTTTTAGCAAATATTGCCTGATTCTTTAAGGTTCAACTGAAATATCACCTTGTCTTCTGTGGAACCATCTCTCTTCCTGATAGCATGTTTCTTATACCCTGTCTATAAATCTCTCTTAAGGGAAATATATTGAATAATGTAATTGTTTAGAATTCCAATGAGACTGAAAATTTCTTGGACAAACATCTGTGTCCAAATTTCAGGACAAAACATGTGTAACTCCAGTTAACATATTTTTGTAGAATAAATGAATCCACTAGAAACTGTAAAAGTGACCATTGCCAACAATCTAGTTTCTTGTTTTAAGGAGTCATATTAGTCCATTTGGCTGTATAAAAGTGATAGTGGGTTTTGGTCGATAATCTCTCCTTCCAAAAATTATTCCATGATGCTCTGTGACTATTCCTATTTTATATTCAATGGTGCTCTTGTACATGGAATTGGCTTAAAAAATGTTAACACATGTTATATATTGTTCTAGGCAGAAGAGGAATTCCAGAAAGCCCAGAAAGTGTTTGAGGAGTTTAATGTTGATCTACAGGAGGAGTTACCATCCTTATGGTCGAGGTATGTGTGCTCTATAGGATTGTATGTGTGCCCTATAGGAATTTCAGAATGATGTATACACCTTGTCTTGTCCTGTTGTCTGTGATGCATCTATACTGCTCAGTTAGAAGTATTCATTACCTACACTTTCTACTGTGGCAGCTGCTTGTTGCATTAAACTATTGGGCTCTTGAAATATGGCCTGTGAGACAGAAGAACTGAATTATAGGTGGAATATATTTTAGTTTTTAACTGATTTAGATTTCAGCAGATTTTAGAGATTGACGTGTTTCTTAAGTGGAGGCCCAAATTTCAGCTAAGAGCATTAGGGCATCGTGCTTGATCATGGAATCTTTTCCCTTTCAGCTCTTTGAGGAATTTTGTTTATCTCTGGTACTCCTGTGGCTTTCCAACTTTGAGGATAACCCTCTGCGTTGCCCCTGGACCTGTAAACACTGAGCTCCATTCCTGTTCTGGCATTAACTGTTCTTTTTTACAGATACTCTGCATTTCTCCTGGCCTCAATTGCATCTTCTATAATTTGTTCTAAAAACCAAGCCATTTTTTAGGGGAAGTGGTGCTTCATGTCCCTTGTTTTCCATCCTCAACCCCACGCTACCACCCCCCAATAAACAATATCATGTTTCACATATTGCTTCAAGTCCAGTCCTAGGTTCCAGCTTTCAGCAAGCTGGTTGTCTCCTAAAGCTTAACAATGTATGAATTCTAGTGGTTCTAATTTATTCTCCACAATTTTGAGCATTTTGAAGGTTTAGACTATTGCCTTCCTTTTCTAGGTTTCTTGCTAGAGTTTTCAACTTTTTGTCAATAACAGGCACTGAGTCATTATTTTTGAACTGCTGGAACACCTGCATGCCCTTTGGCAAGTGAGTTTATTATAAAACCTCCCTGACAAACACATCTATCTCAGTATCTAGCCATCATTTACGATTGAATATGTGAATTATATGAATTTACTCATTCTTTCTGTTATTGGATCTCTGATAGAAAGAACAGTATCTCTGTCCTTATACTTGGCCAAGAAAGAATTCAAAGACAGTTCCAGTTGAACAAGAAGTAAAGTTTTATTAAGCAAAGTGAAAGAACACTTAGGAGAGTGCGGAGGGCAGAGCTAAGGAACAGGGTCTCCGTCAGCTACTGGGATTGTCTTTTATTGCCTGTGTCTTTACTGAAAAGGGGAATATTCCTCCCGGGGGTGGGCTGTCTTTTTTTGATAGAAAAGGGAGAAATTTTCTTAGAAAGAATGGAAAGCCAATTTTAGTTCCTATATGGTTGGATCAAGTCTGTCATGGTAATTTTGAATGTCCATTGTTTTGGAAACCACCATGCTAATTACATTATAATCATCCTGTGGACTTCTGAAGAGCAGACAGCTACTGTTTGGGTCTAGGTCAGGGAAATTCCTTTTTCTTTCCCCTCCTTGGGGCAGAGATCTCACCAGATAACTCATCTCCCTGGTTTCTGATTGACTGTGATTTCTTTTTTAATGTTTTTAGAGGACACAGAGAGAGAGAGAGAGACAGAGAAAGATCTTCCATTTCCTGGTTCACACACCAAATGGCTGCAACAGCTGGAGCTGGGCTAGTCCATTGGCAGGAGCCAGGAACTTCTGGGTTTCTCATGTGGGAACAGGATCCCAAGGACTTGATCCATCCTTTGTTTTCCCAGACTATAAGAAAGAGCTGGATTGGAAGTGGAGCAGCTGGGATACTAATTGGTACCCTTATGAGATGCTAGCACCACAGACAGAGATGGCCACAGTGCCAGCTCCATTTATGTATGGTTTTGACTGTTTCATCACTCACGTGCAGTTGTCCTAGCCTGCTCCTTGCTCCCCAACCCCTGCCTGCTCCTCTCTAGTAGCTATTCAGCCATGCAACTCTAACATTTCAGCAACTGTTCTTCTCTCCTGTGATACTGTTATTCCTGGGCTCCTAAGCCTCAGAACTTTGGAGTCACACAGGAGCCCATATCATCAATGGAAACCCTCCATTGTTTTTCATTGTGGCTTCTTGGATAAGTCTCCATTGTGTAACCCTAATCCACCTAACCCACATCATCCGCTTATGAAATAGGAGAGTCTTGTAACATTTTCTTGACTTCATCCTATATACTTCTTCCTAAAGGCCCACCTTGACATGTCTGTAGCCTGCTTAGCACTTTGCTATATGTGCCCCAAAGCTGAGAGTCCCAAGTAAGTTTTTTTAGGTCAATGATAGTTTTATTTCTTTTAAATTATTTATTTGAGATATGAACAAAGAGAAGGTTATGAAGGCAACACACACACACACACACACACACACACACACACACACACACACTCTGGTTCTATTGGCTGGTTCATTCCTGAACTTCTGCAATGGCCAGTACTGGACCAGGTCAAAGTCAGGAGCTGAGAACATAATCCATGTCTGTGGCACAGGTAGCAGGAGTCTAAATAATGTGAGCCATCAGTGCTGCTGATAAACTTACAATGGCAGGAGGTTACAGTCAGGAGCAGGAGCTGGGAGTGTGACTCAGGTATTGCAGTATGGGACGTGATGTCTTAACTGGTACTCTGACTGCTGTGCTCAATACCTACCCAGCCCCTCACCCTCAGTGAGGATTTTGAGCAACTTGAGGATATAAAACATTCAAGGATATGTGTAAGACAAATAACTGTTTCTTTATTCATGTCTATTTCAAATTCATGAGTTGTGTGAAATGATGTTTTCTGGCAGTGTTCTTTGTTTACACTCATGTTTTATGACATGCTGTCATTATGTGCATTTTTGGCAGTCATGCCTTTATCCGTGCTGAATACATGCATCAAGTCAAGCAGTTGTTCTTTGAGCTTTATCATCACCCTGCACACAGATGCATCCCTAGCCTAAGTTGGCATTTGCCCAGAGTGAGTTACTCTTTGCATGTTCCCTGTAAACAGCTCTTTGTGTTCTCCAGTAAAATTATTTCATTGCTTTTAAAGCTGATTTTCAAGAAGGCTTGGATATTACAATGTTCAGTATTTGTAATTATGAGCTAATCTCTCTGGGATATTGCAAATTGCCAATCATGAAAAAATATATTGGGAACATAACTGATTGGTTTTCTCTTTTAAAACATGATTTAGTTATTCATCTTAAATGTGGAGTTAGTGAGGGAGAGAGCTCTTCCACGTGCTGGTTCACTCTGTGAATAGCTTCGGTGGTGGGAACTGGGCCAGTGCAGAGCTAGAAGCTTCCTCCACACTGGTGTAGGGGCTCAAGTAATTGAGCCATCTCTGCTGCTTTTCCAGGCCATTAGCAAGGAGCTGGATCTAAGTGGAATACCTGGGAGTTGAACTGTCACCCATAGAGGATGCTGACACCAGAAGCAGATGATTAGCCTGAAATCTTGGTCTCCAGCCCCAAAGCTGCTGAAGCAGAACCCCATGCCCCATGTGCATCTGATGCACCTTAGAAATGAAAACCCTCTATCTTACTGCATTTTAGCAGAGTGGTACTGTGTGCCAAAGGATGATTTTCTTTTAGTAAGATAAAGAAAAAAAAAACAGATTTTTTTTGGGGGGGGGTTAATATTCTATGTTAAGTATGTGTTATTTAAACTGTTGAAAGACACTCTCAGGTTCAATGTATTTCATTGCCATTGAACATCCATTTTGCTGACTGGCCTTTCTCTGCATTCCTCTTTGTATTTCTGCCTGGTAGACGAATTGGATTTTACGTTAACACTTTCAAAAATGTCTCCAGCCTTGAGGCCAAGTTTCATAAGGAAATTGCTGTGGTGAGTAATGATGATCATTTTTACATATGGGATATGAAGTAAAGGAAAGTTGCTTTGGGGAGCAAATAAGATGGCATCCAGAGAATTCTTCCTCTTTCTTAGATCTTTCTTTTGGTACAGTGATTTTATTTTCAGCAGTATTTTTACAGTGACCACATAATTTTTCAATATTTCTTGGAGATTTTATTACAAACACACAGTTTTTCAGTTACCTCATAAAGTTGAAATTTAACTGGTTAACTTCAGCAGATGAAACATTGATCCAACTATTATTGGGAAGAATGTTTCTTAGTTTCTTTGTGGGTGATTGTGTGGCTTTTCTCAGAAGTCAGTATAAATAATAAATGCTTTGCAGTAGGGGAAATAAATGTGCTTTTATATAACTGTATATTAGTCCACTTTAGTTTTGATATGAATTTTGGCATCATATACAGATTTTCAGTTATTTTGAGGCCACCATAAGTATCATATATTCTGGTGTTTCAATTTAAAAAGTCTGTCTTGGGGTGAACAGCCTGGATTAGTACTGGATGGCTTGCAGCTAATAAGCAAGTAACCTCTGTCCCTGTAGCTTTGCCACAAACTATATGAAGTAATGACAAAACTGGGAGAGCAGCATGCTGACAAGGCCTTCACCATCCAAGGAGCTCCCAGGTAGGCTGTTTCCTATCAGAGCTTAGCTTATATATTTTTTTAAAAATATTTGTTTATTTTATTTGAAAGTCAGAAATACAAGAGAAATCTTTCACTTGCTGATTTATTCCCCAAATGACTGCAAGGGCCAGAGCTGGGCTGATCTGCACTGGGGAGCCAAAAGCTTCTTCCCGGTCTGCGACTGCTTTCCCCATCCGATAGCAGGAAGCTGGATTGGAAATGAAGCAGCAGATACTACAGCCAGAACCCATATGAAATGCCAGGACTGCTGGTAGATGATTAGCTTGTTACACCTGCCACCATGCTGATCCCACAGCTTAGTTCATTTCCAGGCAGTTTTTTAACATGCTGCAGTGTGTGGACCAACCTACACCATTGAACTTAAAAGAGCACTTCCATTCAAAGGCTGACATTAATCTTAGTTGTATCTTTACACAACTACCCTTGCAACTCAGTTGTACCATGAGAGTTCTCATTAATCACAATAGAAGTGTCTGCCTCTCCCTGCTTTCCATGGGACATCATAGCCACAGGGTGAATGTTAACATACAGTTTCTAGTTTTACGCTTGGTAGCTGTCTCTGAAGAAGAATGGAATCCCCAGAATACATGTCAACTTAGCACCGATTATTAATATTAGTGTTAACATTTGTGATGAATCCACCTGAGGAAAGCAGGGAAGAAGCAAGTGAGAGCCCATCGCCATTGGCCTTACCCTCCTTAGGCCTCCACAATACTGCTACTGAGCATTGCCATCATGAGTCTGCTGGTCAGCTATACCATGGCCCAGGAATCCGTAGGTGAATAGACTTTCTCCCCGGGGTGTGTGTCATGCTAGACCTCTCCTACGATTTTGGAATCTGCTTTCTTTCCATCATTATCATGCATTCTTTCCTTAGAGAATTTAACTTAAACAAACTTTTAACCAAAAGCCAGACAGTTCACCTTCTATTTGTGTGACTGTGCAGCCGACTCGCTCTGCCTTCCTGAATAAGCCCAATAACCTCTCTGATTAAAGATCTAATTTATATTTTGATAAATGGGAAGAATAAGGTAGTCTTGAAATGAATGGCCTCTAAGGTAATATGTATTTCTGCCATTCTAGTTTGCAATTTTAGTATCAATCAGTGCAGACACTCAGGCACAACATTCATAAAAACACACAGTCATGTGCGTGGAAAAACGTCTAAGTATGCTTTTGGATCCCGTTAGTTTTTAGTTTCTCTGCCTTTTGGATCAGCTCTACTTGCAGCTTCTGCTGTGCTGCTTTCCCAAGTGAGCCGTAAATCTGCATCTCTCAGGAAAGAACACGGTCTTAAGGAACATAGGAAAGAGAAAGCTCATGTTTTCAATCTGACTACTTTAATTTTGGGTTAGGGACAAGGGGGAATCAGAATGGGGATGTCCAAATGATATTTGTACATTTCTAAGACAAAATGCACGCTCTTTTACATGACAATGAGAGACAGTGCATTGGAAAATGTATGGTGTTGCTGAATCAAAGAGAAATTGGAACCATGTCCGCTTACCAAGTGTTCCTTTCGTTTTTTCCCACATTCCTCTGCAGAACGAGGTGGTGAGTGAGATCACTGGAAGCTCCTAGGTGTAACAGGCTGTTTCCTATAGGCTATGATTGCTGGCCTGGGGCCCAATCATGCATTGCGTGCTCTCTTTCACGAGGACCCAGTTCCCTGAGCCCCTTGATTATGTAGACCCTGCTACTGTTTGTGTGCTCTTCTGTTCAAGGGCACAGATTGTGTTCCTAGGAGCTGTAGACTTTAGAACTTAGTAGAGAAGGAAGACCCTCCCAAGCCCTCTTAGCCATACACTCGAGCTGCTTCCAAGCTGCTGGTTCATTGTGGGGAACACATTGAGTTCTTAGCAAATGTTCCTGAATCTCACCCATTACCAGTTTTTTACACTCTTCAGGGTGTCTGAGTTGAGCCATTGTTCTACAAAATGTAGGCAGAGAAATGATCAGGAATGCATATACAGAAGTGATCCAAGTCCCACCACAAACTTTATAAAATATTTATTAGCACTATTGTGAGGATGTCTATGAATATGAAATTTATAATTTTCTGGCTAGATGTTTCTATAGGTTATGAAAATTCAAGATTCAAAAGTAATTCTAGTTAAATTAATTCAGCTTGTTTGGAAAATTTCTTCAGAGCTGGTTTTGCAGAGTGGAAAGAATAGTTTGTATTACTGAGAACTGAATTCAGATGCACTAAATGCTGGGTAACGTTATGATGCAGAGGGAGGGAAGCACAGGCGGAAGGAAGTGAGGAGAGAAAGGGCATGGTTACTGTGAAGATAAGAGATAGTATATGAATGGCACCTGTTAATCACCATCCCTGTTACTAACATCCAGTTAATGTGGAAGGAGGGAGTAGGATACCAACAGTGCCTGTTGTGCTGCAGAATCTCTCTGGGGTAGAGATCAAATCAATACTCAATGTTTCCTTAGAAGAACTCATGATCCATCCTCTGTGTTCCTGTAGTGATTCGGGTCCTTTGCGCATTGCAAAGACACCATCACCACCGGAGGAGCCTTCACCCCTGCCAAGCCCGACAGCTAGTCCAAATCACACGCTAGCACCTGCATCTCCTGCACCTGCACGGCCCAGGTCACCTTCACAGGTAGGAAAAGATCAAATATTTGGGGGGCCCAGGAGAACTCAAGGAAAGATAACCCATCTGGGATCATCACATGGGACTAGGGCCTTAAGAAAAGTCTCTCCACCTGGGGAGACCAACGTGTGCAGCCGCAAGCATTATGATTGCCCCCAAGAAACCTGTTTCCTGTATTCATTTATTTTATCGTGCACCCAATGTTTGAATTTGATGGGATTTGTCACCACGTCAGTGGCTTCTCCTCTCTTCCATCGCAGAATTCTTTCCATCTAGGCTCTATTCATTCCTGTCTCGCGCCCATGAAACATTTGGGTCAATTACTATCAAGATAAGTGGTTTCATGTGTATCATTTCACATTTGTTTTATCATCTGCAGTAAGTTGTCCATGAATAACCACTCAATAAAACTGCATACTATGGACCACATAAATGAAAAGAAACAGGGACATTCAGACATTTGCAACTTTCTAACCCTGAACAGTGATGCTGGTTCCTGGCTCAGCCTACAGTTAGATTAGTGGGCTTCAGCATCTCCCTCTTGGGCTAACCTGGGCCAATCATTCCATAGCCTCTGGCACTGTCCTAGTGTAAGGAGTTAGGTGAACTAATGGGTAGTTAGGGCCAAGTCCCTGTTGGATTCAGAAAAGAGGGTGTCTCTTTAGAAATGTACAAGATGCTTGCTTCTGCCCAGAAGCCGCCTTTACCAAGACTAAGTGTGATCCCAGTCTTCTGGGTCTCCCGTTTCATCACAGGAATCGCAAGGCCTTAGTGATTCCACCCTTTCAGCTTATCATGTGAATACAAAGACATTTCCTGTGCCACCCTCTGATGGCCTTTTTGTTTTGTCTTGGGCAGACTGGACAAGACTGCAATTCAGGCCTTTTGGTGGGTTTTGTCCCTACCCTCTGCTTATTAGCTGCTATTACATTTTCCTCCAAAATTGTGCTTAAAAGACTAGACCCTCACAGGTTTTTTAGGTCTTTTCCCTCTTGGAGTTCCCTCCCTGCCGCTATGTTTCTAACTTAAACAAATCTTAACTTAAAAGAGAGAGAGAGAGAAGGAAAAGTACAAGCTTTATTTCCCTACTGTAATGAAAGTAAATTGCTGTAGAAAAGCCCAAAGACCCGAGACCAAGACTTTCACAAGAGTGGCTGAAGCTCAGGAGGTGGTGAGAAGATGTGTGGTGCGTTGGCCTCCTTGGCTCGTTTAATGCTTGGTTCTAACACTTCCTAGACAAGGAAAGGACCTCCTGTCCCACCTCTGCCAAAAGTCACCCCAACGAAGGAGTTACAGCCTGAGAACATCATCAATTTCTTTGAGGATAATTTTGTTCCAGAAGTTAGTGTGATGACCCCATCGCAGGTGAGTGCTTGGTGTGTAGCCAGGATAACCATGAAAGTACCGTGGGAGAGGGCTCTCTGGGGTCAGCTATTGAGACGAAAGCCGATGTTACAGCCAGTAACCCAGTTGGAACTGTCCTTCTGGCTTGAACTACTTGCTGTGTCTCAAGTCTTCTTAAAGAGAAGTATTTAAAATAGTCATTTTTAAAGAATTGTATGCACTCTTTTTTAGAAATTTCGGGAGATACTGAAATGTGTGAAAACATAAAATGAGGATGTTTTAATAAACATTTAATTCATACTACTCCATCATATCACTGATGGAGTGACACTTCTATTTAATTTACTGGTTTTTTTAAATTGCATAGTTATTGCCTTGGAAAATAACATATTCTAAGAAGGGAATCCCCAGAATACATGTCAACAGAGCACTGATTATTAATACTAGTGTTGTCATTTGTGATGAATCCACAAATTTATCTATTTGAGAGAGGGACATTCCTGTCTGCTGATTCAACCCCCAAGTGCTCACAGTGGCTAGGACTGCGCCAGGCCAAAAACAGGAGCAGGAAATTCAACCCAGGTCTCTCCTGCTGCTTAAGACATCATCTGCCCCCTTCCAGGCTGCAGGCAGCTCACCTTGCTAGTGGTGCCATGACTTAAACCTGGACCCTCCAATACGAGAGGATTGTATCTCAACCACCTCTTCATTGTTGTATCAAATGCTCATCCTTGAAAAAAAAAAACATATTTGACTCTAGTATTCTGTCAATGCTGATTATTGGCCACCAGTTGCTTCCAATTGTTCTCTCACCAGCACTGTAAGGCACATCCCTCTATGTCAATCCATGTTTGTGTCTTCTATTTTTGTTTTCTATTGATTTCTAGTAGAGTACGAGAAAGTACAATTAAAAGAGAGAAGTAATTTTAGATCTGCCATCAGCAAGGTCGAGTCATTTATGTGATGAGGCAGGTTGAAATTCCCAGTCTCTCTACCTGGCTGCTCATGTTCCACTTGCAGCTGCCTGTAGTCCTCTTCCTGCAAGAAGCTGAATTGTCTTCCAGACTCACACATAATCCCAACTTCAGAGCTAATGTAATATCTTTGAGACCATCTCTCTGTTTCACTTGTAGAAGTCTCCAGAGAGGCCACATCAGTACCGTTTTCTCTAGTGTTCCCAGGGTTAGAATCAATGCTTTCATTTTGCAAGAGGTGCTGAGGCAATGCTATTAAATTACTGACCATGTCAATAACAACACTACGCACAATACCCCAATTATAATCACATGTTGCTGGTAACAGTAGAGATAATGTATTAATAAAAACAGGAAACCCAGAAAATTTAAACTCAGTAGCAATAATACATTTGCCATCCTTTTCAAAGACATTTATCATCAGACAGAATGCTTTGAACTGCTGTGTTTTTCCTTTGTTTATTGCAGATGCTGAGCTTGGTAAGCTCATTAGGGCTGAAGTGTCGGTTGGCAGCCCTTTGAGGAGAGGGGCTATGTTTCTGTCAGTCTGTAGTCAATTGGTGTGCTGTGGGTCCAGAGACTCTGCCAGGGATGGCTGTCATAAAGCCTCACCACCTTATGCAGTACCTGGTATTGGCCCTGGCTTCCATCTGGGGTAGTATTCAACTTTCAAGTACTGCTGTTCCTTTGTATTTGTACCTGACCAGCTTCATTCTATTTTTCGCTGGGTGAATTTTCAGCTTGGGAATATTTTGAGGCATTGTTATCCTAGTACTAAGACTATTCTATAGAATAATAACAGACTTTTCAATAGTCAAATAACTATATGTAAAGAATAAAATTCAAGCAATACAATGGGACTTCATATGTTTGTGGAAAATTGAATTAATCATTTTTAAAGCTTATGGAAAATGTATGTATGGAGAAAAGTATACAGAAATTGCAAAAAGTTTGTGCCAAAGTAAATCTACCTTTTAATTTTATAGTTAATCTTGAAACACATGGTTCAGTATTCCCTTTTCCTATCCCATTTTACTCTCACACAAATATACATTGTTGAAATCACACATATTGTGAATTAAGAATGGATCATAGGATACTAAATCAAAGATACTAAGAGAATGAGGTGAGTGTAATGCAGTTACCAGTATACAGGGTTCCTTCATTTTTAAATGTTAGTATCACAGCAGGGTATCCCTGTACTAAGTCCAAGTTTTCATCCATTTTATGTGTTAGGTTACTTGATAGCTTTGATCCAAGCTCTCTGAGCTAATACAGAAAGAAATTTCTTGCATTTTGATATCCCAGGCATTTGTTGACTGGACCTGGTATTAGGTAAAGGATCAGTAGTGGAGCTGAGTTGTAATTGGCCAGGCAGAGTTCACTATTGCTTTCTCACCAGCTTTAATGAAATGACTCTGGAAGCATGCAGAGGCGCTGCCTAGGTGGTAAACTGTCAAAGCATGATCTGGGAATAGCAAATGGCAAATGATTGGAGGGATTCTACGTAAGGAATCCCTCCTGGAGGTATTGCAAAGTCTGATCAGTTTCCAGCTCACACATGAGTTGTTTTAACAGAATGAAGTCCCTGAGGTGAAGAAAGAAGAGACATTGCTGGACTTGGACTTCGACCCTTTCAAGCCTGAGGTCACACCTGCAGGCTCTGCAGGTGTAACCCACTCACCCATGTCTCAGGTATCAGCTGCTGCTTTGGGATGTCTTGAGGTATTTGTAAATCTCAGTAAACCTGGTAAGGTAACATCTCCCTGTTGAATGACTGATCTGTGTATCTTTGTGATTGACATATTTTTCTTTTAGGGAAAAAAAGGGTAACGAAAGAACCTTACAATATCAATCATTTTGGATCTCCCCAAACCTTTAGCTTTCTCTGACGATAGGCCTGGTATAGCCACACATTCACTACCCCCCAGGAATCCTCTGACTCAGAGAAACTGTTAATAAGGTCTGTCTTGGCACTGAGCAGTTTCCTGGTTGGTATGAAATGACATTATAATACCCCCACATAAAACTCTGTCTAAGGCTTTGGGATTACTCATCTGTCTTCTCTGTTTTCCTTACCATACTTTACAAACAAAGGCTTTAGTGAAATAGACATGAAGCAGCTACTCAGCAGAAATGTTTGAAGGTGTGCCTTATTATGATCCCCCTTAATAAAGTCAACTTTGTTTCCCAAAACATATCCTTCCTCACGGCTTCCACATTCAGTGTTTCTCCATCGCAGGAGGCACTTTTGTGTTTTTCTCTGTCACAGGGACCCTGATGACTTGTGGGTAATTACTCTGAAATACAGTTGGCTTAAAATCACCTGCACTAATGGAAAGATATTAAATCAAAACTAAAACCAAGGGTTTCATATTAGTATTTTGAATGTGGCTGAAGTCTCACCAGCCAGGCTGCAGTGATATAAGACAGGTGGTCCAGTGCAGTCAGAATGGGCCCAGACCAGGTGTCAGAGTCCCAGGTCCACTTTCAATGCCAGATGAGATATCTATAACCTCATCTGGAAACTGGCATTAGTATTGGAATACCAGGCTCTCTAATTTGCTGTTAAGATATAATGAATACAAGCAAATGCCAATGTCAATTCATCCTAATTGCAGCAGCATGGGCAACAAGTGATGAAGCTTTAGTGGGAATTCTCAATCCTGAAGGAAATCAGAAAGAGAACATCACCCACAGTAGAGGTCATTTGAACCATCTGGATTCATTTCCCAACATCAGTGTGTTTTGTAATTAAAATGCCAGTAGTAAGTGTAATTGATTTATATGTCTTAAGGGGCATCCTGCTAATCTGTATATTGCCGGTTAGTTGAGCTCTGTGGTATTATTTAATTAAACACATTGAAGCCTTTTTTGGATTCACTTACCATCCTGTTGGTCAGATATGTCCTCCTGAATGTAGTGGGGAATAACAATGGCAATGATTAGTAGGTACATTTCCTCCACTATGAAATAAGTTCTAGTACCTGAACATTTTGTTGACTTTATTTTAATGATTTATATGTGTGATTCAAGTAATTCATTTCTCTTATTTCAGTATAGTTGTCCCTTTGCAAGTCAAAAAGTAAATTGGATAGATTTTTACTATTCTATATTGTAGCTGTTAGTCATATCGCTATGTAAACTTAAGTAAAATTGTATAATAGTGAAAACTCATTGCCCTAACACAGTTTAAGTGCCCCATAGTCACACATGGCTATTGGTTACCATGTTAGATACCATAGCTTTAGAGCATTTCTATCATCAAAGAATGTTCTTTCAAACCAACTATATTAATTGCTCGAAGATATTTATGATTTCAAGAATTTGCATCAACTTAGCATGTTTCACATGCTTGAGATTTGTAGATTGACAATATGTTTGCTTGTTTTCAGACATTGCCTTGGGACCTATGGACGGTAAGAATAACCAAAAACTATTTTCTCATATTTTAAATTTTTAAAATATTATAGCATAATAGGTTATAATATAGCTATACATTTTAATAGATATCATAGTATGATATATCAACACATGTACACAGTAGAAACTAAAACCAAGTTGAATTGTGGGTTTTATCATGCGTCTTGATTTCTAAAAACTGAAAACATAGTGCATTTCATTTGTGATAAAAAAAAAAGAAGAGCTGTACATTTATAAGATAATGCAGTCCACTAGAAGAGGTATTGGCCCCCTGAGGATTCTGTGTTACCAAAGCCTGGAGATGCTGGTGGAGGAAGAATGGGATTGGCCCAGAGTCTTGCGAGAAGGATGGTCAAGAGGGCAGCATTGTGTGTCTGGGTTACTTCCTTCAGTGATCAGTGGCCAGCAGAGCTGTCATGAAAGATGTGCACGTGTGTGGTGGCCTGTATATGAAGTATAAGCAAGGTGTGGGTGACAAAGTGGAGGGGATGGATTGCTCTGCTCGTGGGCTCATTTTTCCCATTGTCGTATTCAGTGAGGCTTTGTTAATACAAATGTGGACCTCAGAGTCAGGCAGCCCTGGATTAAAGTCTGGACAACTGCATCAAACCTTTAGACTTCAAGCAATGTCTTCAATTCTATGAGCCTCATTTTTTTTCCTCCTGTTTATAATGACAGTAACAGCAACACCCACCTCAGTGGGTTGTGTGAGACTTAAATCAAACAATATTCGTAGAGTATTTGTCCCATGGGCTGGTATGTATTATATTAATAAAAGTTGGAACATGTTGCTGATATTATTTATTTCACTAATCTGATATGCAAAGATGACTATTAGCAAAAACAAAACAAAATCAGAATCCAACAAGAGAGACGAGCAGAGTTGTAAGGAGCAGAATTAGAGCTGTGAGATTCCATTAGCCACACTATTATCAAACCTTACATTCCTTGATGTAGGCCTTTGTTGTAGAAAGGCCTTCCTCTCTGCCAGAATCACCATCTCCCTCTGTGTTGGGAGTCCTGCAGGCAGTCAGAATGTTAAAATCATTCTCCCTCCAAACACCTGCCCCACTCATAGGGAGAACTGAGTTAAAGATGAACTGGTGGGAGAGCTTATGAGTATTCCAAGAATGTGTATTGTCTGATTCTAAGCAATGGTTTTTCCTTTGGTATTTGTTCCATCTTTTCTGACTCACTTGTTTATTTGCACCTCTGCATCTAAGAGTGCTAAAGCACAAAACATCCTGGTTGATATTATAAAATGACCAGAGCCCTCTTTGTGTGTTTATTTTAATAATTCTTTTTAATGTGAACTGGTTGGATTGTGGCTCAAGCCAGCCCATCCTGCAGAGATCTATCCCAGCCAGTCCTACACCTACCCTGGCTCTTGTAAACAGCAGTGTGTGCTGGAGCCTAGCCAGTCTGGCACACCCAATACTCAGTCCGCACTGATGCCGAGGGATGCTGCATCGATGTCCAATTCAATTCAGTTTGCCACCCCATTCTAGCTATTACTCTCACTAGTGGGAACCACAACCCAGCGGGGGCATACCCTTAGCTCCCCAATCAAGCTCATTCCCAGCCAGAGATTTGCTCCAAATCTCTGGACAATATTTGCTCCAACCCAGCCTGGCATAACCTATCACCCAGCTTGGCCTTTGCCATCAGTTGCTGTAGCCTGGCCTGGCCTAGCTTGCCCTGCCAGCAGTCCCAGTTCTCTCTGGTGGGTGCTGCAGCATAGCCTATCCTAGCCTGCCCCCATCCCTGGCTTTCATGCAAACCAGTATATGTGATAACCTAGCCCAGCCCAGCATGGCCCGCACCCCATCCTGGCTCCAGCACATGGCAGTGTGCTACGGTTTGGCCTGCCCATGCCCAGTCCAACCCCTATAGAGACAATCCACATACCTGCTAACAAGTGAAGCAGCTCTGCACAGCCTGACCAACACCCAGGCATGACTCACATGCTCTACAGTGGGAGCAATGGCCCACAAGGGAGTTCCTCAAGTTCCCCCACTTGGCCCACTTCCAGACCCATATCTCACATGTGCTAGAGTTGCTAGGCCCTTACCTGGCAGTTTGCCCCCTGGTGTCAACCTTTGTGTGTGCTGGTGGATATTGTAGCCCTGTTCATTGGGTGTGCTGTGGGTGCTACAGCCTGGACCAGCTCAGACCAGCCTGTTCCCAACCCCAGTATCCACAAGTGTTGGAGTTCCACACTGATATGGTTAACACAAATTTGGCATTAACCAGGCACAGGATGTCTGCCAGCTATTAGCTGCTTTTCTCCTAACAAACCTAGGTCGTTGCCTAGATCTGAGGACCTCTTAGTGTTTTAATTCTATTTTCAATAGTATTTATAAATAATGTTGAATAAAAATTATCCTATCCCAAAGTAAGTTTTATAATTTAATATCAAACCAGTGAAATGTTGATTCCAGACAGCATGGGACTTTAATGTACTTGGAAACTATTCCTTTTCTCTTTTCACTTTTCTCATCATTCTTTTTTTTTTTTCTTTTATTCACACAGACAAGCACTGATTTGGTACAGCCGGTAGGTAAATATCCAGGAAATTCTGGATTTTTAAAAATGTAATGTGCATTGTATTATATAGAATGCATTTTTTCCACTATAGCATTACTGCTCATAGCTTTAACCTTAAGACATTTTATAACACTTTCTGGTTTTCTTTAATTTGTGCTACATGATTAACTAGTTTGTGTTTCTCATCCAATCTTGTGCCTATCTCATCTTATGTTTCTTTTTTTCTTTGCTCCTCTCCATATTTTAAAGACTGAGTCTTCAAAAAGTCTTTCATTGTGTAACCTGATCATGGAGGAAACTCCAGAGAGTGGGTTGGCCGAAGAAATGGAAAAATCTCAAATTGATGTAGGTGCTTGTCCTTGGGGCCCTGATGCTAGTACAGACAGTGTCAGCCAGGAAGTTTCTCCAGGTACATCTCAAGAGTACTCTGCAGGTCTCTCTGGAGCAGAGCAAGACATGAAATTATCCACTGCCATGTTCTCGTCTGCCAATTGGCCCTCAGTCGCTGAACAGGGTGAGCGTGACCTGGGGCCAGCCCCTCCAGATGGAAATGGACAGCTGTCCCCAGACCTTGTATCCACAACTGGAGTTGCCATGGCTGCTGGTTTGGAGGTAGAGCAGCCATATGACCTACTTGATGCAGAGGTTCCAGTCATGGATACAGCTGGCCTCTTCAAAGAAAATCATGAAGATGTTCACAAGTCAGACGAAGAACAAGAAAAGAAACAGAAGTTTGAAGATTCTGTGTGGGCAGGTGTGGAGACGTGCCAAAAGGTAGACACTGGAGTTACTGATACCAAGGCTCTAAGAGGTGACGAAGAATTTGAGGAGAAAGCACTTGAAAATACAGGAAATGGGAAAGTAGATCCTAAGCCAATAGGAAAGCAAGATCTGGGAACCTTAAATATTAGTGGAATAGAAACCAGTGAAGATCTAGAAGTAAGATGTGACAAGAGTATAGAAACAAATCAAAATCATTTTGAAAAGACTGACCTGTTAGAGAAAGGCACGGAAAGAGTAGATGCAATAGATGAAACTAATGGCAAAGACCAAGGGCTACCTGATGAGTTTCAAGTAGGAATTGAAGAGTGTGTGGTTAGAGAGAGCTCTGGAGTTAACCCTGCCAGTCACACACATGGCTTGAACCTACCTCTCCAGACCGACTCTGAACCTAATATTGAAGATGCCAACCATGAGGGATGGGAGTTAGCTAGAAAAGACACAAAGAAAAATTTAATAGACCCTCCCAACCACTCTGTAATATATCACCAAGCACAAGACAGGTCAGATGCTGAAGAAATTCGGTGTGACACTGTGCCAAGTGCTTCTCAGGATGACAAGGATAAAAATCAGGCTGTTGTTTTATCAATAGCATGTGAAGTGGCAGTTCAGACTAAGATTGATCTTAATTTTCAACCAGAAACTAATGCAAGAACAGATTTGTGTTCATGTCACGTAGCAGATTCCTTTGTAGAGAAGTTTGAGAGTATAGTGGCTGGGAATGGTAGTCATGCCATTAAGTTGCCAAGTATTGCTAAAACAGACCCTTGTGGAACAGACCCAGGTCAACACTGGCAGTCAAGCTTGACGTCAGCAATGAATAATGTGAACATGCCAGGATTCTGTAGTGTTTCACGTGGTCAAGCAAGTGAATTTGCCAATTGGCCAGATTCTAACAACCCTTGGCCTCCCGCAGGTACAGGAAGCTTAGGTAGTTCTTGGGAACATTTAGATACAGTCAGGATCAAGGAAACAGTAGAGATGGACTTGGTAGCAGCGGGATCTGAGCAACAAGATATTGCTAATTGTTCAGCACAAAGTCAGGAGACATCTAGGCCGTTGGCTCCAGGAACATCCTGGAACACTAGCACTGAAGGCTCTGCTAGTTCCCAAGACAAGGACACCAGCAACTCAGATTTATCTGAAGATGAAATTGCTAACCAGAGATACGGATGGTTGTACCAAGCAATAGAGGCTGATAGAGATGAGGTACTCATCCCAGTTTGTAGTATAGACTAGCCAAAGACTTCTGTAGGTGCTGTTTTTTTTTTCCTAATGTCTCTCACCTGTTTGATTATCCATCTCTCTTCTCCAAGGCCTGTTGTGTTCTTCTTGAAATTTGTGTAAAACAAACCCAAATAGGCTGACAAAAAAAAGTCTCCCCAAAGCAGAATGAGTGTGTTGGCACACTGAGGAGTGTCTATTTTACCATCCTATTTTCTGAAGTGATCCTTTATAATTTCATTTTTATCTTTCTGGCACCAACATATGCTAAATCAACAGTACTGAAGATCTATTTACTTTTCTTGAAGTGAAAGTGTTGTCCACTAAGAACATAGGAGATGTTAACTCATGCCAATTGAAGCTAAAATGTTGTCATTTCTGTTAAAGTGATATATTATAGAAACACTGGGAAAGCTTCTTCCAGATTTTGTCAATGATCTGGGAAAAAAGAGGCATTGAATCCTTCAGGTTTTCCTGAAATCACCCTCTCATTATTGAGAAAGCAAAATTTGATTATCATTGAGCCATATTACAACAATGATTTTAAATCAATCTTTTTTCAGCCTATTTAAAATAATACAGCATGGCTTTCTTTTGCATTTCCTAAGCACTTTGATGCACAGTAGCCTTTTGTATTATTTTAAAATCTGTGTCATCTTTACTCTCCAACTTGTCTCTCGGGTATTTACTCATCATGCAAAGCCAATGGGAGGAAAATAACACAGTGTGATTTCTGTTTCTGTTTAGGCTTCTGGTGGTTCCTTTAACGGATTCACCCAGGTAAGGAAGTAAATTTCTAGCAAGATCCATCTACTGGGATGGATCTTGTGTGTGTGTGTGTGTGTGTGTGTGCAAGTTTCTGTGCTACCTAGTATAGTATGAAGGATATGAGCACAAACTGAGCAATGGATACAGAAGGGTAGCAGTGTCGTAGGATTGTCATGAAGCATTAGATAGAACACATTGCCCAGTATCTTTGCACATACTGTCATGTGACTTTATTTAGCTGTCGTTAATATTGTGGGTTGTACTGTGGGCATCTATCTTCTGCTGATTTTACTGCTAGAAATTGGGAGTTGTCTGAAAACTAAGTGAGCAACTTACTTTAGTTTAAAGTGCAGGTTGGAGGCTGGCTTTGTGGTGAAGCAGATAAGCCCATCTCCTAAGATGCCAGCATCCCATATGGGTGCCGACTCCATTGCCTGTTGCTCCTCTTTTGATACCCCAGCTCCATGCTAATAGCCTGCTGAAAACTGCAGAAGATGGCCCAAGTGCTTGCATGCATGCCACACATGTGAAAGGCCTGGAAGAAGCTGCTGGCTCTAGCCTGGCCTGGCTCAGTTCATTAAGACCATCTGAGGAGTGAACCAGAAGATGGGAGTTGTCTCCCTCCTTCTATCTCTTCCTTCTCTGTCTATAGCTCTGATCTCCAAATAATTATAAAAAGGAGGAGTTTGTCTTATTTTGACCTAGTAAGATGGATCTTTAGAAAATACTGAAAGGTTTGTAGGAGCCCATTCTTAAGACTCATAGGAACCACATACAGGGTCAGCTTTCCAGTGGTACTTCAGAAAGGAGCTTTGTCTGGGAGATGAGAAACCACATTAAACCCTTTCCAGTGAGGCAGTATTTCCCTTGGAAGTCCATGAATAAGGATGTACACGATGGACTTCGGCATTCACTACACATGTTCTAGCATATAGATAGGTATAACCCATGTGGGCAGCAGGTCACATGGCCATGGAGATCCTGGACTCAGGTCTGGCAACCTCTTTAAGGGAAACCTCATATGGCAATTTCTCAGTGATGAATGCTTTAGCTCAGAATATCAGACATGCAGTTTCTGATAGTTTTCACATTTACAACTCTGTAAGAATAAATGGGTTTATTAGGTCACAACGTGTAGGATTCCTTATTATCAGGTTTTATATTTTCTCCCGTGTTTCCTTTCTATAAAGATGCCACTCACTAACCTAAGTACAGATATGCATAAGCATAAATGACATGATAATGGACTTCTTCCTTTCCTGAAATAAGGGTCATAAGGCAAATGATCCATTTCTTGTTTAACATTAAATGCTAAAAGTATTGCAAGGATTTTCATTTTGAAGTCAAACCATCCTAAACCGTCACTGTTCTCTTGGGTATATTCACTTGTTTTAGCAGATTCACTGGTTTTGCTCCAGTTCTGTGCCTGGGTCCTTACCATGTTACTCCTTAATTTCTAAAGCATTATCTCCTGACTCATCTCTCTAGAAAGTAAGGACTTGAAGTGACTACATTTTTTCCTTCTTCCTGCCTTTTGTTTTCTGGCCTTCCTGTGATAAAAGTTCCATTGTAGCCATCCCACCACTCCATAGTGGTGCTAGAAGGACATAGATGCTATAAGAAGTCAAGACCTGAAGTTTACATTGCCTTTCATGCCAACTTTTTGTTTTCCTTTGGGATCATAATTGTGGATTTTATTTGTTTGTGTTTTGACTTTAGGCCATTCTCCACTGCTTTCCCATTTTATCATCAAGGAGCTGGATGGGAAATAGAGCAGCCAGAACATAAACCAGCACCCATATGAGATACCAGTACTTGTAGGTGGAGCATTAGTCAATTGAGCCATCGTACCAGCCCCAAAAGGAGATTTTAAAAATATTAATAATCAAGCAAACAAAACTGAACTTATTAATTGACACAATTTTTGGTAACTTATTCAACTATGTTTTTGAAGAATCTTCTTTTCTCCTCAATTTTCAGCCCCAGGACACTTCATTATTCACAGTGCAAACAGACCAGAGTATGATCTGCAACTTGGTAAGTTGATCCACTGTGTGTGGGGAGGGGAGGTTATTAATCAGCACTGCCTGTTTTGATCTGAGTCAAGCATTCAAGTTCGGAGTTGGAATATCCAGCTGGGTTTTTTGCAGCAGACTGTTTAAAAATAGTTGTTTTTGTTTTATTATTATTATTATTAACAGTAAGTGTACATGTTCATGGGCCACAGTGTGATGTTTCAATGCCTGATGTTACGTGCACCATCCAAAACAGGGTAATCAGCATTGACTTCCTTGATGCCACTTTGTGGTTGGAGGCTTGGGGCTTCTTTCTTCTCTTAGTTCATGAAATATAAACAAGGCTGTTGTGAATTGTAGTCTCACTATGCTGTGGAACACTGGAACCTTTTCCTTCAATCTCTGATTTTCTGCTGATTATGCAAACTCACTCTGTTCCTCTTCCACCCCTCCTAGCCTCAAATAATCACCACTTTGTGTTCATATTGAGTGGGCTTTTCCAGGTACAAAATTATGTCATCTGCAGACATGGTGTTTTCAGATCTTCATGCCCTTTATTTTTTTATCCTCCATAATCACTCTTGTCAATGTGTCCTACACTGTGCTGAGAAGCCAGCACTGTGAAATACTGGATCAGTCTCTGTCTGCAGTGCTAAGAGTCCATATGGGTGGTAATTCGAGTCCTGGCAACTCCATTTCCAGTCCAACTCCCTCGCATTGCACATGGGAAAGCAGCAAAAGATGGTTCAAGTGCTTGGCCTGTGTTCCCAAAGAGGAGACCTGGATGAAGCTCTAGGCTCCTGGCTTTGGCCTGATCCAGTCCTAGCCAATCTGGCCATTTTTGGGGCATGCATCAGTGAACTGAATACCTCTTTATCTCTGTCTCTCTTGACACTTTCAACTAAATAAGTATTTTTAAAAATACTGGATTGAATAATATTGGTGAAGATGAGTATCATCTTTTTTTTCATATCAAGAGAGGAAAAAAACTTTCAACCTTTCCTCATTCAGTATACTGTTGGGTGTTGGTTTGTGTCATATTATCACTATAATTTTGAGATATGTTCCCTGTACATACATCCAATTTGTTGAGAATTTTTCTTGCAAAGGGGTGTTGAATCTTTTTCTTCTTCTGTTGAGAGATTGCATTATTTCAGTTCTTGAATCTGTTGGTGTGATTTATTGCATTTATTGATTTATGAATGTTGCATTCCTGGGGTAAATCCCATATATGATCTTTTGGATGTGTTGCTGGGTATACCCTCTTTTCTAGAAATCAGTAAGGAAAGCATCTCTAAAATCTCCATTTGATTTAGAGTTTAATTATTTTTGATTCATGCAGGCCAGGGATCTACCCCCCCCGCCCTAAATCCAAATCTCTTAATTATGAGCTTTAATGAAAAACAGTGAACCCATCAAGGACATGTATCTTTCCCTGACACTTAACCTAGGACTGAAATGAAAGTGCCTTAAGAATGCTTGCTGCAAAATAGGTTCCTTCCTTTTCATCATCCTTTCATTTTGCTTTAGTAAAATAATTTCATAGTAGAGTTGAAAATCTTAACTTGACAATAAATGAGAAAAGCTTGCTTATGGAATGGGCTGCTCTTGGTAGCTGTTACTCTTGGTGCTTAGAGGAGTCTTTTAAGATCAATGTAGAGGGCCCGGTGGCGTGGCCTAGTGGCTAAAGATCAATGTAGAAGTTTCTCAAGAGACTTAGTAGCAGTGGCAGCTTATCAGAAGAGTTGAATGCAGAATCCTGAACAGATGTCACGTGTGAGCTTGTCCCTGCTGGGCTACTTTTACTTTTTGATAACCAGGTGAAAAGCACATTTCCTGTGGCTTCTGAATAAATGACAGTGTTTCAAATACGAATTATCTGATGTTGTGCCACAGTGGGTTAAGCCACTACTTGAGATAGCTACATCCCTGGTTTGAATCCTAAGAGGTCTGTGCTGCTGATTCAACTTCCTGCTAACTCACCTGGCGGGCAATGGATGCATCCCAACATCTTGGGTTCCTATCACACACGTGGGTGCCTTGCCTGGAATTCCTGGCTTCAGACTTGCCCAGCCCTAATTGTTGTAGACATTTGGAGAATGATCCATTGGGTAGAAAATCTGTGTGTGTGTGTGTGTGTGTGTGTGTGTGTGTGTGTGTGTGTGTGTGTGTGTGTCTGTGTCTCCTCTCTTACTTTGCCTTTCCAATAAATAAATAAATCTTTAAAATTAGGTTGGCATTAGTAATGGAGGTAACAAGACATTCATTCACATTGATTGGAAATTCTCATCCAGAGTGATGGAGCTGGAAAATGTGATCCTTACTGTGAATGGATTAGGAAATGTTGAGAAACACTGTATAAGGAAAGGTTATTGCACGTAATTGAACTAACATTTTCTGCTTCGAGGCAAAAGACATACTGGAATCCAGTGACTTCTGTTTCTCTGGACATCTCCTAACCCTCCACAGCTGGTTCCAGGAGTGGCAGTGCCTGCTCTCTCTTTTTTCCCCTGCTTTCTGCTGGGGAAGCTGCCTTTGTCGTGCCCAGTGCTGCATCTCTTGCTGACTTGGCTCTGCCTTGTAAGGAGCTGAGTAATCACAGTGTACCCACATCTGTGATTATTGAGGTTCTTCTCAGGAGCAGGAAACCTCTGTGGCGTTCAGTTTGTTGACTGTTCTGAGCTCAACAGTGGTTGGAGTTGGTCATCACTGCACATCTCCCAATATATGTCTCATAGCTCCCCCAAAACATGCCTTGATGCCGAGCTTAAATGCTTTGTGAATCTGCAAACCTTGCTGAGTGCTCGGGTTTCTATAAAATCCCTTCTCGGTTCTTACTAAATTAGCTCTCCCAGGATTGAAGAAACAAAACTAGAAGGCAAATGGCATGTTGGAATGTGACTCAACCCCTAATCCTATTCTTCAAACCTATCTCTTCATCCTCAACATCGATCTGATTTTATCTTATCAAAGTGGATACAAAGTGCCACAGGTCTGCCCTGCTGATGTTATTGTAAAGGGAGGATTGTTTGATTCTCAGACTTGCACCATTGCAACATCCTGCTGTCATCAATAAGTGTAAAGGGTCCAGTCTTCTCTGTGTATTGATTCTTCCTCCAGCAATAGACAGATCATTACAGCACTGGACAGTAGGCTTGGTCTTCTGTGAATCCGTTAGCCAGGTCTGTCAAGGGAGGCTTTTGGCAACAATATAAAATGGGTGGGGCACTATAGCTACAACACTGCTTTAGCTCCTTCCAGGAAATACTGACCATAATTGACCTTTGTTTTTTCTCTGTAACAAGACAAAATGTTTGCAGTGATATATATATATAGTCATTATGTATATATATATACATATATATATATAATATTTATCAGAAACTCCTTTACCTTGAAAGGAACAAAAAGGTGACTTATATTTCTGTATGTGAGTATCTGGCTTTATGTACAATCAGGCTGTATCCTTACCCATTATTCAGTGCACCTAGGATTTGAGTTAGGTTGAATGCCATTTTCTACTGTGTATTGTGATATTGCCAGGTAGTGAAACATGCTGTGGCTTGTGAGAACAAAACCCAAACTTGTGTCTTCTGTGTTGTGGTGTTGTCTAACATCTGCACACAAGTGCAGTCAGATTCATCTAAGGAATCACCCTGACTCTTACCTTATCGAAGACTTCAGCACTTTCCCAGACTTCCAATAAACCCAAACTGTGATAAAAATATTTTTCATCTTGAGTTGCTTCTTTGTTTTTATAAATGCACAGTGCTGTATCTATTTGATGTGCATTTTAGAACTTCTCTTGGTTTCTCTTTTGGCTTTATACTTTTCCATAGCATATATTCAGTTTGCCAAGGAGCAATATCTGCTTCTGGATTCCTTGTCTCTTTGTCAGATTACCTCTGTGTAGGTCGTTTGACGCTACCCTCTCTTGAAAATTACTTTGCTTTCCCAAATGGTAGGAGCATACCCTGAACTACTGTGAAAACATGTTCTATTAGGAAGATAAGTCTTTTTGAACAATAAAAGTGTAATCTTTTCCCATAAAGGATTCCCAAGAGACTATGAGAGTGATTTTTATCTCATTCTTTCTTAAAAATTGTGTCAGACCTGCACTTAACAGTTATAAAAGCCCATAAAAATATAAAATCTCTGCACACTTATCTACCAAAGTGTCCTTTGATTTTATTATGCCCTTTACAAAGAATGGCTATATACTGGTGGCAGACATCACAATGAATGACTTGGTGGGAGCATAAGACAAATATTTTATTTGTCCAACTCTAAGCTACTCATTATTCACTTCCTGTTATTTCAGCACAGTTTCCATATCCCTCTCCTAGAGAACTTGTCATCTGTATATGCAGGGAGAAGCATAGGGGCCATTTGGTACTGGCAGAGTATAGTGGATGTTACTGATTTCCCCCACACCAAAATGTTAATTGGAGGACACTCACTTTCCTGGGAAAACACTCCTAAATGCTTTAATATTTTTTTCAGGTGGAAAGGGAATTTAATGAGTCCTCTAATGTCCATTTCCTTGGTGAAAGTCTTGTTAAATATGCATATGTGTATTAATAAGAATTATAAAAGTATTTTTAGTAGCTGTGGGAACATATGTATCAGCTGTGATGTTGCTAAGGGTCCATTACTATTTTATATTAATTTAAAAACTAAATTGGTCTTGCCCTAAGAGATGCCAGAGGCCTGACTCAGCATGTTACTGAAATTAGGATGAAATCTATATGCAGAAGTCACAGTGGGACACAAAGGCCTTACAATGCCCACACAATTAAAGCATTCTAATTGATACCACAGAGAATACTACCCTGCCATTCTTTAATGAATTACTTCATTATATGAAATACATTAAGGGCTAAGAATTTGGTTGGAGGGAGAAATAAAATAAGGACCTGAACAAGAATGCACAAGGCAGCGAATGTGGCCATCACACGGCTGGACCTGCTTTTCTTAGCTGCAGGAGCGACTCACCAGCTGCATGGTGACACAGTGAGCGGGTTGGTGCATTTTGGTTTCAATATTAGGATGACCCCTTGAGCTTTTGGCACAATGTCTCCAAATTCTGTGATCTCTCTCTATCCTCCCACTCCCCTAAGTCTGCTTGGTGACAAAGTGAATGGCAGTATTTGCTGATTGTAAGAAGAAGCTTTAGATTTTGTTATTAGGATATGAAGTTCTGTTAAGGTCCTTGATGCCAAATGGGGGAAATTGCCCTAGCAGGTTCAATTGGGGCAGTTTGTCCAAGAGAATAGGAACTGTCCAGTATTCCTTCATGGTATCTATTCACATGTTGAATCTTTTCCCTCTAACCGCAAAATTAAATAATCAAAGGCTGAATCTGAGCAGGCTCCACCCACGGAGCCAAAGGCAGAGGAGCCCACTGCTGCTGCTGCTGCGTCTGCTGCTGGACTGGACCTGGGACTGGACACTCAGGCTGAGCAGCCGGTGGAGGAGGCAGTGGTGAGCACACCTTCTTTCCTCTCCATCTGCCTCACTCGCACTGCCATGCTCACCTCATGACCTCACGTGTCATCTCTCATCCACGCTTCCCTTCCTGGGTTATGGCTCCCCAAACTCAAATACCCTTCATAGCTTGGATGACAAACTCCATTCCATTTCACTTTTCAAAATAAAATCTATGTGGAAAACTGATTTTGCAGTCTGAAGAATACTCTCACGTATCCAAAGATGTGGCTATCTTTGAAGTACGTCTTGATTTCTCATTTATTATTATTATTTTTTTTGTACTCTCCTGTTCTCTGTAGATGGGTAATCAGACTGTGATGACTACAGATGTGGCTTGCGTTAGGGACCCACTTAATGTGATAAACAGGACAGTAACTTGGTTCATTGTGTCTGGGTAGTGATTACTTAAAACATTAATTTGGTAGGCTGGTTAAGGTTCAATGCAAGATTGAAACCAAGATTGAAATCTGTGCATCTCTGAGGATTCCTATATGTGCAACCATTTGCTCCAAGACAAGTTTAATGCTGGATCATACAAAGAGGGACCTTTGCGCTAAGATTAAGACTGGCATCCTAACCATCAGCACTTACCTGATCCATGTAGCCATGAAAACTTGTGATGTTATTGTTTGTGATCCTTTTTTTAAATAGTCCTGTGGAATTACCTTTTTACTTATTGAATATGATTAGTGGTGTACTAAGCTTGTGATTATAGAATTGGTTGAAACTGTGTCTTTAAAAATGAAAAAAAAATGGAGGAAAACTGAGGGAGGAAAATATGTTAGTCTTCTTGGGATGACACCTGTGAACTACAAGAAACTTGTTCCCATTATATTAGTAAAAACTTAAAAAGCAGCACATTATGAACCAGGCTGAGCTCTAATACATGCTTCAAACTGGGTTGTATCATGTAACATCCATGAAAGCATTGAGAGATCAAAAATGGCCTATTTATGAAATGCAGTGAAAAATATCACACAAGGGTTTCGAGCAGGGTATCGTTTACTGTAGCTTTCACAGTTTTTGTACAAATAGGAAACCCAATTTCTCTATTACCAAAAATAACGTATCCTGTACTAGATACGTAGAGAAATGAAAGTTAGATTTTATGCACTTGGTGCCTTTGGGATTTCTAATGGGAAATAGGAGAGTCATCTGTCAAACCAATCATTCATTACAAAATAGAAAAAAAGCAATAAGGAAAGTTAGTGATGGAAAATACTAAATGACTCAAGAAAAAGGTGCCACATTGTCCATTTAAAAAGGTCTTACACTGAATTTAAGAAATCTGTTAAGCTAGATCAGATCTCTCCTAGAAGCATTGCTTAGATTGACTTCAGGCCTGAAAGTGTCATGTCCGAGTTGGTTTTTGTAACTGTCCCTCCCATTGCACTTGTGATCTCAACAGATGAGTAGTATAGATGTGACATTTTCATTGGATGTTTGTGACATGTCTACCCATCTTAGCTGTAATAGTATTTAAACAACTAAAGGAAATGTGTTGATTTTTTTCACTATTCTTAGAATTTAAAGAATTAATTTTAATGAGAATAGGATCAGGGCTAAGGAGATAGAATGATGGATACAGGTCCGAGAGAAACTACGTCAGTTCTGAACATTTTTTTTTCCTCAAGTCCCTGTGTTGAGTAGCTGCACCAACTTCATCTTCATCAGCACTTTTAAACTAGGTTAATTCCTGTCCTCATGTCAGGCATAATGCCAGGCTTTTGGGGCAGGGACAGCATGATTCTGTACAGTAGAGAGAGACCTGGAATTGACTGGTGAGCTAAATACAGGCTTGAATGTTAATCCTCTGTGATTCCTTCTCAGACTTCAGTGGTCCCAGAGCTCCCGAACTCTTCCTCATTTTAGCCCATTTCTCTAGATAGCTCTAAGTTTCTTACAGAATCCAGTTCATTGGACTTTCAATTGGTAGGTAACAAGTACTGGGTACCTATAGAATCTGACAGTATACAGACTGAATGTCTCTTACCCAAGGTTCTTGAGACCATAGTTGTTTGGGATTTAGACTTTTTGTGGATTTGAATATATTTTCATAAACTTAATGAAATACCTTAAGGGCTGTACCTATGTCTAAATATAAAATTCACTTTTGGTTTCATATATGTCATATACAAATAACCTTTAAGCAAACATTTTATACAGCACTGTAGTGTGCCTACATTTTGACTATGATCTCTTCTATGAGGTCAGATGTGAAATTTTCTTTTTATGAGTACTTCAGATTTTGGATTTTCAAAGCTGGTATGTCCAACCTATACATAATTTGCAACATTTTAAATTATGAGTGATAATGGAAAGATTTGACATGCTATCGGCCATTAACTTTAAAAAGTTTCCCTCACATTGGATAAGGAGGTAATTAGGATAAGTCTTCATCCTGAAAATACTTTATCTCCTAAAGCTTATAGGTGAATTTTAGAGAATCACAAATTTCAACTCCTTGTGAAAAGATGAGGCCATTTGCAGAGTCTGTTGAAGGATTCAGACGCAGCCTGAGACCCACAGGTGCTGTTACAACAACAGGTGCAGAACTCACAGCGTGATCACCCTCTCCGAAGAGGAAGCATTCATCAACTTCATTTCTCCATATGGACAGAAAAAGAGTGTGTTCAGCAAGAGGAGGCCACCTGCTGCTATTCAGTTGGCCTGGTCCTCATCAAAAGTGACCGCCTTCCATGTTTTGGGAAAGGGCAACCTAGGACAAAATCAGTCCTTCCCTTCATCTCTGCTTCTACTTAGAAGAATAGCATTGCACAGAATGTATTTTTTTTCTTGTTTTCTATAGTAAATATGTAGCGTTTTACTGCTGATAATAATAATATAATTTGTTATTAGGATTATTTCTTCTAAGAAAGGGCCTCTTCACTTCCTAGATATGTGGTATGCAGCCGTAAGAACATAACCATCGTGTTCTGTCCCCAGCATTAATTAGCAGACTAGCTGTGGTTGTCATCAGTCAGGATGGGCTGACATGACCTTTGGAGGAAATCCTTTCTGCAGCTGAAAATATCACCCTGCAGTTATTAGTTCAGCTTTTCACAGAGGGCATTTCATCAGAGGTAAAGTCTGAGGTTTTTTTAAAAAAAAAAAAGCAAGTGTAATTTCAAAAGCAGGACGTTTTAGCAGTGACTCTCAAAGAAACCAGGGGCTTTTAAGACAGGCTTAATTACATTTCTGTTTGTTACTTTATTCTCCACATAGCTAATATTACAATTAGCTTTTTTCCCTGCAACTTTACATCTTGCCATCATGTCTACAGGATGCATTTGAAAAACCAATACTCTTATCTCTCCCTTTCAGATGTTTTTATGTTAGGTAGCTAATGAAAGTATTTTTCAAGGATAATGTGATCTGAATATTTTCTCAGTGTGTACATAAGATAATTAGGTTAAAGTGTGGATAAAGATTGAGTACAGAGCATTTTACAATGTGTTATTTGAAGATGACCCATAATTTACCATGCATGCCATTTGTTTATAGAAAATACCATTTTATCTATATTCTTTTTTATTACAATTCTGATTTTCTCAAAGCTTCTGTCCATTCTAGTGTTTTGCACAAATGGCGTGAACTGGCTGACTCCATTTTTTGCCATCTATTTTAGAGGAGAATATGTGCTGTCAATACAATGAGGGCTAGCAGAGTCCCCAAAACAAACAAATGAAGAAAAGATGGAGGTAAAATGCTGTTAGGATTGCTGGGTAAGCCTGGAAAAGGAAACATAGCTGACCCATTATTCATCAGACTCATGAGTTCTGCTGTGTGTGTGTGTTTTATTTCATTAGATCGGGTGGACTGGTCAAGGCCATCTTAAACCCACAAGTATATACTTCTGAATTCCAAATCTGCCACGCTTAAGTCTCTCAGTGTCATCTTGCTGTGTGCAAGGAGCTGGTCCTTGCTTATCTCCCCATCTCAGGGTACACAACACACGCTTGCTCTACAAGATTTTCCTATCTATTTCTCCCATCTCTTACAGGAAAACCACTAACTACAATTTTACTGACTGGCATATATTGTTATTGGATTTCTTCTGTGATCTTAAAGGCAAAAATTAACCAAAAATTCATTAACTTTGTCATCGCTGCAGAAGAATTTCAGTTTTAAAGAAATTGCAGAGCCAATTTGAACAGATGTTACCATGGCAACTCTACTGGCAGCAGTTGACTTAAGCCAGGGGCCCAGCTGCCTATGGTTTGTGGTGGGACTACAAGCAATACTCAGAGAGCTGATTGAAAAATATGTCCAAGATGAAGGTCGGGGGAAATCCCACTGAATTATTTTACTTGAAAGGAAGTATCTGGATGTGTTAAAGGAGGCTACCAATGCCACGGGCCACTTTTAAACAGAATGGAATGGGGAGAGCTCAGTGCTACCTTTGTGTTGAAGACTGTGACTGGCAGTGTTCCGAACACAGTTGGTCTGAAAGACAGCCCCAGTAGACTAGACTGTGTCTAAGCCGAGGGATCTTCTCGTTGAAGCCACGGAGATGTTCCCTTAGGTTCTGATTGACTTCTGAGCTTGTCTATAAAATAAATTTTAAGAAAAATCCCTTGCAGATACAGGGAGGGCTAGATACTCCACAGAGGAAGTGAAAAGTATTTTAAGAAGCTGTGTTCCAACCATCTGAATGATAACTCACTGTGGATAGGTAAAAGACAGGTGATTGAGCAGATGTAGCTACCATTCTTTCCATTTTCTCTCTGTTTGAAAATTTGCAAGTAAAACATTGGGCAAAAGCTCAAAAAAATCCTCAATGAAACCAAATAAATGAAAAGAACGGAATTTAGTAGTAGAATCATTTAAATGTATAGCCTAAATGATTAGTTAGCTGTAAACCAAAGGACTTTGTCATAGTGTTAATATCATTAAAAAAATTTTTTTAGAAAGATTATATCTCCTTGAAATTAAACCCCATTCAATGATGGGAGCATTATTAAATAAACAGAAAAATTCAATAAAAATTTTTTTACTTGTATGGCCTTTGATAGTATTTTCTAAGGAACACCTGTATGATTAAGTAGTTATCTTAAGTTTTTCTTTGCCTACTTTAAATCCATATTATTCACATTTTAATCAGAAAAATGCTACCCTTAATTAAAAACAGTATATCCCATAAATAAGTATGCAACTTCATCCCAAGCTGGAGGATTCAAGTACTTCACCTGTCCTTATGCAGCCCAGCCACATGAGACAGGGAGGCTGTTCTGGCGATGGGCATGTGTGAAATTACAAGGAAAACAAGCAGACCAGGAACAGTGTAAACACGTGATGCAAATCTTAGAAATCACAAACTTTCCTGCCATTGGTGACCTCTGTGACATGGTAGAGTCTCAGTCACCATGGTGTGTCTCTCTACTTTGCAGGATCGATGCCAAGGCTTGTCCCATTGTATTCATGTCATTCCATGATATTTTCCTCATGTGATCACTGAGAGTTGATTTTTCCCCTTTCCCAAGTTCTGCTTTTCTTCTGTAGAATCCAAGTGTCAGTTTCTTTAATAGCCTGCCTTTGTCACCATTTCATTGTTTTGGTGATTTTTATTTTTCATGAATCTTATCAACAATTTGTAAATGCTCTATTTTTCTTTCTTTCTTTCTTTTTTCCATGATAGATATGCTAAGTTTCTGAAGTGCTGAGCTGGGGACACTGGTTCCTGCCAGGTCAGAAATACGATTTGAGCAGTTAGAGCCCTTGGCCTCCACCTGCTGGTAGCTGGCATCACAGTAGCTAATATCAGGAGTAAGACATATTCAGCTAAAAACACCTGCTTGTGTTTTTTTTTTTAAACAAAAAGCAAGGTGATACATGTAAATCTTATGTTATTGGAATCTAATGAAGCCAAATTGCGTGAAGCATCAGTTATTCAAATGATGTGCTAATAACTAGCATTATGTCTTTATGAAAGAAGTTCTAAAAATTGCTTTTATATCACCGTCTGTGTGTAACAAACATGTGGCATCTACCAGGGACACAATATCAACTCAATATAGAGCAACATTCAATCACCAGCAGAATGCATTTAGACAAAATATGAATAAAAAGGGTGTGTATGTACTGAGTTTGAGGATTAACTAATGAAGTAACTGCTGCTTTCTGATCTGTAGTCATAGGTATGTCTGTGTGTTCGTGTGTCTTTCTTACTGTTCATTCACTGTCCATACTGTCTATATGTATTAGAGTTTAGCTGGTTCAAAGCTATGGAAACCAAGGGATGGTAGTTTTTGTCAGGTAATTCAGAAGCATAAATAAAAGACTACATGCAAATAAAAGACTGCATTCCAACGCTTAAATCCAATATGCATGGATTTTAATAAGCACATCTTCTTTACAGTTCATTCTGAGTTCTCAGTATCCTGGAGAAAGCCTATGGATTTCTCTTAATAATAAAAACAAAGCCACATAGCCAATTACACCTCATTTTTTCTTGGGATTAAGAGACCTCCTTGTTTATATTCTAATTATTAGTTTCTTGAGAAGAATAATAATGACTAAAAGATCTGTTTCATGTAAACTACTTTTATTCTTAATCTTTTGTGATACAAATTTTTATTTATGAATCGAACTATATACCACATATGCTTATTACACACCCCATCTTGTTAATCACCAACATGTATAATTCATGCTCAATGGCTGTTACAATTCATATAAAAGAATTACCTTTCTGAACCTATGTGCGTTACATGGTAGAAAACCTATGTATGCACTGTGTCATTGTTCATGAGTACGTACACACTTCACACAAGGCATGAAATTCTCTTAAATAGGAGACTCCTGTCAAAGAGGGAAATTAATTTGTAAGAATCTGAGTAAGATCAAACGTGGCATGAATAGTATAGTTGTTAACTGATTTTTATTCCCAGAGGAAAAAAAAATGTTTTCCTGGGGAAAAATATATTCTATTACAGAGTATTTTTTAATGTATTCGATTATCTGTCAACTTAAATCAGAAGGAAAGGTGTTTGTTTTTTATCCTTGATGTAAATGTGATTCCTATTCCCCATCTCCCATTTCTGGAGCCCACTCCTCTGTTGCCCTTTTCAGTATTCTGAGCTTAGGAGTTAATATCTGCAAGATTACAGTTTCCAACTTCATGAGATAAAGTAGGTAGAGCTTATTCAGAGAAGAACAGAAATGACTAATGCTAATCACATCAGATGGCAAGATCGATTTTCGCAGTATGTATCCTGGATATCATACATAAGAGCAATCTAATATTATCTAATATTCTCAGTCTTTCTGATTCAGACCTCTCGACTCAGGTCAGCTAAGCTAACGTTTCATACAATCTTATTAAAAAGCTGGGCTCCAAACCAATTTACTCAAACCTAAAGCTTCTAATTACAATTCCTTGATTTCATTATTTTAAGTTTCATCTACAGCTTAAACGTCTGTTTTGACCATGTTCTAAGCTTAGAAACTAAATTCTCATTTTTATCCTATTTCACTGTCCTCAGTAGAGTCCCCAGAGTATCATTTTAACTTTTTGCTAGTAAATACATAGCTCTAAAGACATTTAAGGAGTTACAGCAGACATTTGATAGGAAAAAAATTAAGCTGTCATTTCTGCAAATTCCAACTGCACAGTGAAGATACTCTGCGCATCCCGTGGCTTTTCTCCCAGACTCAGGTATTGCACCTCTGGCTCTTTCCATCTGTGACTTCATGCCCCTTCATTATCATCTGCCTTCAGAACAAAACAACCAACCAACAAACTCAGAGAGCTGTAAGAACTAAAAGGGCTTTATCTGGGAGCTTCAGATTTGCAATTTGGGAGACCAGGGTTTTTTTTTTAAAGATTTATTTTTATTATTTTTTTATTGGAAAGGCGGATATACAAAGAGGAGAGACAGAGAGGAAGATCTTCTGTCCGATGATTCACTCCCCAAGTGAGCGCAATGGCCAATGCTATGCCAATCCAAAGGCAGGAGACTCCTCTTCCGGGTCTCCCACGCGGGTGCAGGGTCCCAAAGCTTTGGGCCGTCCTCGACTGCCGTCCCGGGCCACAGGCAGGGAGCTGGAAGGGAAGCGGGGCTGCCGAGATTAGAACCGGCGCCCATATGGGATCCCGGGCGTGCAAGGTGAGGACCTTAACCACTTGCGCCACCGTGCCAGGCCCGAGACCAGGGTTTTAAATAGTTCTGAAACTGTTCCAAAGGAAGGTGGGTAAAGTGGGAGTTGCTGTGAATAAACAGCATTGCTTTTTTTTTTTTTTTTACAAAGAGTAAAAATCCTTCAGCAGTTGTGGATCCAGGGTCATTTGACCCACTGATGATAAAGAAGAGAACATACATACTCAGTAAAAATATCTGCAAAGCAAGAGCCCTATACCTTCTCCATGTGCATCCTGAGTCTTTACACACAATGCAACGCTTTGTTCCAGATGCCAGCAAAGGGTGGAAATTACTCACATTCACACGCCCACCTAGGCGGCAGCTTGAATCTTGCATGGCTTTTTTAATACTGCCTTTATGATTACCTTCTCCCTTTATTTCACAACTGAGCAGTGTTCCACAAATGGCATTGTGTCTCTTCCATTCGAGCTGTGCTTGCTCCACCTGAAGCCGGAAACATGTGGAATTATTGGCCCTTCAGGAAAAGGAGAAGTCAGAACTTTGATGAGTACATGGCAAATTCTTGCCAATGAATCTTGGGATCCTAATGGAGCCAAGCTGCTACTCTGTGGCAGCCCGACAGAGGGAGAACCCTAGAGGGCTGAGTCTGGGCTTCACTGAGTCCCGGGAGGATATTAACTTTGCCTGTTTGTGTTTGGCTGTTCAGGTGCTCCCTGGAGCCGATGCTGAGGTGGCTGTGCCCGCCGCTGAGGGAGTCCCAGGGGAAGAAGCAGAGGCAGAGAAGGAAGCTGTGCCTGCTGGGGAAGGAGTAAGTGTGGATGAGGCCAAGATGGGTGCCGGGCCCACCGAGGTTGTAGACGGTGAGAGAGCTCAGCCAGAAGAGGCGGGAGCAGCAGTGCCTCAGGTAAGGGCCACATGGAGGGAGTATGAGGAGGGCGGGGCTCTGTGGAGTGCTGGGGTGTGTGTGTGTAGGGGTGACCATTCTTTGCATGAGGAATGAAGGCATGCATGACTCCTTGCTCCAACCAAAGAGGAAATGCCACCGTTAGACTCCCTGTAAGAATGGGTGCAGCTCTTCTCAGTAACAGACTAGGATGATCCACATGGGCCCCGAGGCTTATAGCACAGGGAGAAGCAGAGGAAGCCACAGAGCACAGCATTCAACAGTATGATGAAAAGGATGAGGGCAGAGGGAGGACATTGAGAATATAAGAGACAAACGGGGCTGCTGTGAGGATTAGGTTCATGTTTAACCTGTAATATAAGACACTTAGCAACAACTCAGTATTCATAGGAGAATCCTAGTACTGCTCTGTCACGATTGTCATTCATTACCACAGAGCCACTGTTCACCATCAAGCACCTTTCCCTGATATCTCACGTGATGTTACACTTTCAGAGTGAAAACAAGGGCAGGTTTTTGACCTATAGGTTAAGGTGCCCACAAACCCAACTCAGAGTACTTTGATTCAGTTCCCCTCCCCCGGTTCCCGACTTTGTCCTCTTGCTAGTATGCATGTTGGGAGGTGGCGGTGATGGCTCATGCACCTGGGTCCCTGCCACCTGCATGGAAGAGCTGGGCTGAGTGTTCAGCTCCCAGCTTCAGCCTGGCTGAGCCCCACTGTTAGGGGCATTTGATGAATGAGCCAGTGGATGAAAGCCCTCTCATCTAAGAAGTAAGGAAAATGGATCACAGAGTACACGTGAGGTCAGAGCTGTCCCTGCCCTTTTACTGCATTGGAGCAAGCCTCAAGTGCAAAAAGCTGCATGCTCTGCAATGGGGAAGGAAGGGCAGAGACAAAGGGGCGGAGCTCAAGCCCAGGTGCCTGCTCCCTACTGTGTGTTCTGTACCTTAAAAGGTGACATTTAGTGAAGTCTTCATGGATGCTTACCTCTCCCTCTGCCTCAAATCTCTCCAGGTTGCATACAGCTTGAAACTGAATTATTCCTTTTGTGGAAGTGAATCAAAAGATTATTTGCTCTCTCTCCCTTAAATTTTATTGTTGTAACACAAAGAGTGGGTTTGTATACCTTGTTATACATGTTAAGAAAATAGTTTACTATTACAAATTGAGCACTGGAAGTGCTCCTGACCACTTTTAACCAAGAGTGTTTAAAGATTTATTTGAGCTGCACTAAGATTCTGGAAGTTTCCATTTTGCCCCTGACTTCCCATCCTTGCTAAACAGATAAAATGGTGGTCCTGATTACTCGTGCACGGTTCAGGGAACTTACAGCAGCTGGTTAGAATTGTAGAGCTTTCAGCAGAAACTGACCTGTGGGCTCCCGTGAGGATCGAGGAGCAAGGGACAGTGGCCTGTCTGCAAACAGATGTGGCTTCAGGTTACTCGGGAGTCCCCTGGGACCCTAGGCTAGAGAGGTTAATGTCAGCTTCAGGTAAGTGATCACTGCTAAAGTGGGACGGAACAGACTGCTTCCCAGGGAGAGTTTCTGGCCATGGAATCCTTACTATCCTTTCTGGATCGTCTCGCCTGGCCCTTGCCCCTGCCCCCTGTAGCTCCCTCTTCCTTGGCCTGACATCTGCAGAGACCTCACTTCCATGGCCAAGGATTAGAAATGAACTTCACTCTGGGTTTAGTGGTGGGGAGAGATGAAAAGGTTGAGTTGCAGAGCAGAAGTTCAAAGGAGCAGGTAGGCAGTGGAGCGGGGATGTGCACAGGGGTAACAGGGGTTGAGGCAGGTCGTGGAGGGTGCAGATGTCCTTTTTCTCGGGCCCTGCTGGACCCTACCGTGCTTTTCTTCCCCAGGAGAAGGTCATTCCTTCTGTGGTCATTGAGCCTGCCTCCAACCATGAAGGGGAGGGGGAACAGGAAGTGACCATCAGCGCCGAGTCGGAGGGAGCCACAGAGGACCTGAGTGCCGTGGGCCCTGCTGGCGAGACATCAGAGCTGGCTGCAGAGCAGAAACCCCTTGAGGATGCCCAGGCGACAGCCACTGCACCTGCAGGAGCCACAGACCAACCAGCACCTGCAGGCGCTGCCACACAGGACTTGCCTCCCGGCTTTCTCTACAAGGTCCTTCAATGTTTTGGATCCCCTAACCATAGGTCCTTTCTTAGCTCTGAGTTCTCTTTATTCAAATCTTTGTTTTCAGGTTTTGCTTTTACTTCTTGTCATCTATGATATTTCCCTAAACATCTTCCCCTTCACTTCACATCAACTTGGAAACGGATGGCACTTCCAGGTCACTGGGAACTAAGATCTACAGTCCTATCTTTCGATATTTAATAGGAATAGTTGCTGGGTGAAAGATGGGTCAGTTCCCATCCAACATTCAAAGTGCTCTGTAAGGGTCCTGGCTGGTTCATCTCAGACATTTGAGATCATCTGCTAATTGGTGTGCTCCTTGAGAAGTTATATTACTCCCTGAGTCACCAGATCAATTCTGGCACCTCATTCAGTGCATGACAGAATAGGAAGCAAATAAATATTTTAAAAATAAGTGAATAAATACATAAGTGGCTTCCATTAAAGAAAAAAAAACAAGAGGCCTATTAATGGAAAGAAGATTTGCTCACAAAAGATTCTTAGAACCTTTTTTTAGCTGAAGGGCTTTGAAATGTACCCAGAAAATATCTACAGATAGTACCTAAGGCAAATGTTAAAGACATACAATGGTTCCTGATAGTGTCTAGTTAGGAATTTTAAGTTCTGTAGTTTGATTCTACATTTCCTCATTCAGCACTTTCCCTTTTAGTCAATGTTTGAGTTTTGTGGCTTGGTCGGGGTGGCACTGAGTAACAACAGACACTGTCTGTCTGCCAGAACTGCTGCCTCCGATGGGGATGGAGTGGGTAGAAGGGATTATGAATGAATTCACATAGAGAGAAAGTGCAACTTGTCTGTTAGGTGACTGCCTAATGCCATGATTCTATGTGATTAGAGAATAGGAAGTTAAGGAAGTAGTGTGCAAGGCACCACCAAGGCTGGAGATGCCCACACTTGGCTTCCTCCAAGACCATAATGCCAGGCTTCTCATTTCAACACTCCACCAGGAGCATCAGCTTTCTCATCAGAGAAGTTAGTTGGGGATGCTACTGACATTTCCCAAATGATTTTTGCAGTATGAATCTACATGCAAAATCCCCATTTCAATATCACATTGTTCATTCTCAGGGGTAGGCTTGAAGAGAAAGGTGGGGGAGTCAAGTTCTGTGACTTGATAATTTAAACTGTGTCATTGACGAATGGGGATCACTCCTTTGTAAGAAAGACAGAAAAGAAGCATATATCTGTAGTATAAAAGGTAGGGTAGGGAAGGGGACTGAGATTAGAGGAACTTGGATAGGCATTTCTACTTAAAGATAAATAACAACCACTAATAAAGCATTAGTGATGATACAACATAAATCTAGCAAATATCTGGTGAGTTAAAATAATTACTATAGCGCTTTCAACTATTGCAAAAGGCATCTCATGACTAAATATAAATGTGTGTGTGGCCTCCTGTTGGTCAGTACAAATTGGAGTAGTAAGTAAACAGAGCCTATGTCCTCATTGGCTTTGTCCTTTGGGAGAATATGTGTATGAGCCCATTTCCTGTTACTACAATGAAATGCCCGACGCTAGGCATTTTAGCATAAAAGAAGTTTATTAAGCTTTCATGTCTGGAGGTTTAAGGATGTGGTGCCAGTCTGGTTGAGGTCTAGCAAGGGACCCCTTGCAATATCATGGAAGGAGGGAGAGATCACGTGATATAGCAGGCAACCAGGCAGCAGAGGGGGGGCTGGTCTCTTCTGACAGTCTTTTTTGGGAATCAACTAGAATTACACGAATCCCTAAATAACCCCCCACTAGGTTTTACCTCTTGAAGTTTCCACTGTTTCTCACATGGCTACCTTAGGGACAAATCTGCCAACTCATGAACGGTTGGGGCACAGTGAGGTCCAAGCCATCCAAGGAGGTGGCATGCATCTTCATTCTTGTGTCCAGCTCAGAAAACGCTTCTGAAAGATACCACTGATGATCTGCCCAGGAAGCTGATTTTTACACCTTCTCTCTCCAAAATGGGTTCTTTTAAAATCTCTTCCAGGTGGAAACCCTGCATGATTTTGAGGCAGCAAATTCTGATGAACTCACTTTGCAGCGGGGTGACGTGGTGCTGGTGATCCCCTCGGATTCAGAAGCCGACCAGGTAAACCAGCACCAGATGGAATGGGTGTGTCCAGAGTGTCAGCTGAATGCGTGACTTTTGAAGGCATTTCTGTTTTCTAAGATCTGCCAGCCAGCTCTAAAAAGGCTCAAGCATGTGTGGCTGCAGCATGTCATTAACCTGGTTTGTAGAATATCCTTTTGGGATACAATTACTGTTTCCTCTTCCTCTTCTTCTTCCTCCAATTCTTCTCCTCCTCCTCTTCCTTCTTCTAATTCTTCCTCATCATTATCTTCTTCTAGATGGCCATTTATTATCAGGTAAGCACATTCCAGATTTGAGTAAATGTGGACACTTCAAAAATGAACTCATAATCTCCCTCAGAAATGGCCACCTCTGTGGTTGTAGGGGTTGATTGGGTAGTTTACACATCAGGGAGCGCCTGGAGTGTGTTAACTATAATTGGAAGTTGTCTGTTTTTGTTCTAGCAAGTACTTAGATCACTGTATCATTACTCTGAAATTATGGATGTGTTTTATGCATTGTAATGATGGGTGCCTTTAGCCTGAGCACAAATCATCAGTGCTGGGATGTTGCCTCTTCCTCTGAGACCTGGCCCTTCGGGGTGTCACTGGAAGCCCTCCTGACCTCACTGGGATGCAGACACTGATCCACTCCATCATCCATTGGCAGAGCCAGACCCTGGGCTGCACCTGAGCGTCCCTGCTGTTGCCTGGCCCCAGGTTTCTTGGAGCATCCCTCATGTGCTAGGAGCTTGGGTCAGCCCAGGGGAATAGGGCTGTTTCTCCTCATCCTGGGAACTCCCACTTGCTGTGGTTCTGTCTTTGTAAGAAAATCCAGCTGCTCTGGAAGCTCTGCACTCTAGAAATGTCCTACACCCCAGGGGCAGGCAAGGGTCCCCAGACAAAAGCCCTTCCAGCTCAGGCCATGCTACCTGCTGGTCCCTAGCTGTCAGGGTGGCATCCACGTCACATGCTGCCTGCTTCTGCCTGGCTTGGTGTGGTCCAAGAGTCGGACTATTGTTTTATACATACCTGGTTATGCACAAACTTGCATTTTATAGCCAGCATTTGTATGAGCACATATAAATGGATGCACTTATGTGAACATGTATGTGGATCTACAGAAACATGCAGTTACTCTACGGAGTATAATTAGAGTGGCTGTTTAGTGTAAGTCTTTCTGCCACAGTCAGAGTCTAAGCAGTTAGAATATAATTTTGCTCAGATATAGATTGATGCTGGTAATATTCCAGTTGCATTCCAGAATGCTCTGTGTTAACTATATCTTGATTATGGCTTTGTGGCATTCCTTACTTTTTTCTTTCTTTACTGAAACAGTTTTTAAAGTTCTTAACTATACTTGACTCCATTAGATTTTCACTTTCTATAAATAAAAAGCAAGTATAAACACTTGTGGGAGGAAAAATGACCAGTAATGTGTTCACTAGAGCTTTAGAGAATATTTTGTTATCAATTTTTACTCTAAGTATAACTTTGTCCTTCACATATATGACATCATAATTTTAAGGAGAGTACTTGCTTCATCACCTAGGATATTATCAGTTATTTTATTGGGTCATTTTTTTTTCTGGGCTTTTTTTTTCTGCCTTTAGAAATTGGCCTGTCTAAACACTTATATTTCTTTGATACATGGCAACATCCATTTATAGTCTCTGATTATATCGCCAGGGAATGTAGTCAGCTTCTTTATTTAATTTTTGAGACCTCATTTTATCTGATGTACTTGAACTGTGCAAGGGTTTGGTTCCAATTCAATCTAACCATTGTTCATCTTAAGTAGGATCTCTTTCCTGTGCTGGTTAGCATAATAAAGGTGGGCATTTCTCACTCGCTCCCCTTGCCGCCCCTGTGTTTTCTCTTCTTCTTCCAGTTTAGCCTTTTTTTTTCCTCCAGGCTGACTCTGCTTCTCCACTGAAGGCCCAGGACAAACCCGCACCCCTATTTCTGAGTTGGAAGTATTGCTTTCCATTCTGTGTGGCCCCATACAGAGAGGTTCTGAAACCTTTGGGGAGGGAGCAGAGTCCTCAGGTTTATAATGGCATTTCTATAGGGCAGCACAGTGGTCATTGCGAGTGAATTATGAAGAGTGCATGAGCGTCTCCAGGGAGAATGCTGAGACACTGAACTACTTTGTCATTTATAAACCTTGAAAAACTAAGTATTACAACATCATTAGCAATCTCCAGCACCACACATCTAGCTATAAGCATCCTAAAGACTTGTAGAGGGTAGTTTATTGTAAGATGCAAATGTGGAGGAAGGATTCCTTTTTATAAGCAGGTGGCTCAAGATGAAATCGAAGGCTTCTGGTGCCTCACAAACACTGCATTCTAACCCATAGCCTTTATAGCGCATGTCCCACAGGACAGGCTGTGTTCCCATGTGTGATTTCTTTTCTCTCATGTCATAATCTGTAATCCATATAGCATCAATCAATGTGCTTTATGTAAAGTAGTATATCCATCTTCAATTAACTATACTTTTTCTAAAACATTTATTTCTTTTAAAGTCAGAGATATAGCAAGAAAGGGAGAGGTTACAGAGAAAAAGATCAGCCTGCTGGCTGCTGGTTGATTCCCAGATAGCCACAACGGACATGGCTGGACCAAGCATAAGCCAGGAGCCAGAAGCTTCATATGGGTCCCCCACATGGATGACAGTGGCTGAGGTGTTTGGACTACCTCCTAATGCTTTTCACAAGCCATTAACAGGGAGCTGGATTAGAAGTGTAACAGCCACGGCATGGACCTGGACCCAACTATGATTTCCACAGTAAATCATTTCAAATGATTAATCCTTAAGTGTTTTGAAACTGACAGATCAATTGAGACAGGCCTTCCTGCTGATGGCTGCAAACTTTCCTCCACATAACAAGAGAACCACAATGTTGATGTCCCAGAAAATTCTATTAATATTTGGCTTATGGACTTTTCCAGTAGTTCATTGGATCCTGAAAGTCCTGTTGTTGTCTTACAGGATGCGGGCTGGCTGGTGGGAGTGAAGGAAGCGGACTGGCTTCAGTACAGAGACCTTGCCACCTACAAAGGCCTCTTCCCCGAGAACTTCACCCGACGCCTCGATTAGAGCCACGTGCATTTACAGAGAGAGCTTCGTTACTGGATTCTGAAGTCTTTGCAAAAATGTGAAGAGTTTACTTTTACTATTACACTTCTAATGATTTACAGACTGCCTCAAGACAACGCTTGGGAATAAAAAAAAGATATGTCAGTGGAGCATGTGTGCAAAACAAATAAGAGAGGAAGAAAAAAAAAGTAAATTAAGAAAAAGTCCTAACTCTTTCCCATGTTGTCAGTAACAGGTTTCTTTGTGCATTGTCCGAGCTGTGGAGACTCTTGTATTTGATTCCCCTCCCTCCAGGTCTACAGTGGCTTTCTCTGGCCCAGACCTGCCTGTGCACCAAGTGTTTGGTGTTGAGCAGCTGCCCTGCAGAAGATGTGCTGACATATCCTGTAGTACCAGAGTATCTGATACCCCTGCCCAGGCGTGAGCTCGTGCTCCCTTCTTTCCAAGTTTACTGTGTTCAAGACGAAACTGCTGCAAGAGTTTTCGACCTTCGTGTCCCACATGCCTATGTGTATATATCTATAGATGGACGCACAGTTCCCATGCCTGCTGCATCTATGTGTATGAGGATGACTACATATGCATAGCTGCTTTCCTTCCTCTCCATTGTAGCTCTCGGCTTCTCAAGTGTTTTTGGTTCATGCATTGCTCTTACTCCGTGTGGCATACCGGGTGAAGTTATGCCTCAGGGCAAACCCAGCCATCCCATTGCCAAATTGATCGACAACATTTGTGTTGATCATGTGCAATTTGCAGGATGAGGTTGACAAACAGCACATCCAAACTGCTGCCCCCTTCAGAGAAAGCAGGGCCTGGTTATCCAGCCGGGCAGGTGCCAGGGCTGGAAGGAGGCTGATAGGAATACAGTGAGAAGCAGCCTTCCCTTCTGCCTTGGAGAGATTGGCCAGAAGACGGGGCATATGATTCCCTCCCACAAGATCACTGTTCAAGGGAAAAAGCTCCTATACATTCCCACCTCTCTATATTTATGCGACTCATCTTCCCAGATCCTCTGAAAATAAACTAGGTGATGTATGCTGTATCCACAAAGCATCTGTAACAATTACGTTTTCAGTGCTGTGTCATTCCAAATAAACCTTTGGTAATCTCCAACAGTTACCCTATATCCTTTTCATGACTCTTTTTTAAATCTTGCTCCAGTTGTACATGCTACTTGAAACCATTCATGTCTGAGTTGTTATTTGTGCCAAAAGATGCTTCTTCCTGTGCCAAGTTGTGCTCCATAGCCCTGCCTCAATTCCCCCAGCTCCTCCATTCAGGTCATTGCTGGTCACTCGGTGTTCCCTGTTAGCCAGCAATGACCAGAGCACAAATAACAGCTGTGGGCAGACACCTTCAAAGTGCCACCTGTGCACGGCCGCTCTGTAGCTCACTGACAGTGCTGGGCCCGTTAGTAGTAAGTTCTTCTTACACCTACCTGCCTCATCTGGTCACTTTGCTTTGTGGCATGTTTGTGTTCATAGGTCCATAAGAACGAAATCAAATGGAATAGAAAAGCCAGTTCACTGAACCATTATTTCCACAATAGAATTAGATTCAGATTCACTGCAAATATAATTCCTTACACATGTAGGCTGATGAAGAATGTGCATTACTCAACTTTTAATTTTTGTATGCATTTATGACTCGAGGTTGGAATTCCCCTGGTGGTAGATCACTGAGTTTAGGGTTTGAAATGTGAATGTGACACTGTTTTTATTGACCCTAAGAGATTTTTCACAGGCCGACTTACAGGGCTGCTAAGTCATCAAAAATGTTAGTCTAATATGTGAGAATAACCTGCTGTTGCCTAGTAGCCTGGGTGATATGCTAGAAAGCCATTTCTGATGTTGATGGTATACCTAGGGCCTTAAAAGTCATCACTGCAAAATGAGTTCGGCTAATAAAATGCACCTAATATTCCACAAAGGTAATTATCATGTCTCCCAGAGCAGCCATGCAGGTTCCTGCCTCAGTTCACCTGATTTGAATTCTCATACGATCAGCCCTTTGGAGGCACATCACCCGGTCATATATTGATTGCCAAGATGGTAGCTGCATTTTTTTTCTCAAATGGCCTTGAGCCTGAAAGCCTTATTTGAGACTGGTCCCCATGTTGTAAGATTCCTTTCCAAAGCCTGATGGGCATCATCACTTCTGATAGTTATGGGCCAGAGAGAAAAAGTCTAGGGTCCATTCCAATTAAACGTACAGCCACCTGGCATTTCTCCCAACACCAGTCTCTCATTTAGACTGTTTGGCTGTATGAAGGGCCTGCACCAAGTCCATGGAAATTATGTTCTATGGAAAAATACTATGCATGGGATTACACATTTTTGTACCCCAATAAACTCACTTTAAGTCCCATTTTTCCTTTTTTGAAGTGCTCTCATTTAGGGCTGCAGAGCTAAATCCCGTAGATACTAGGCTTTCCAATGAGATCTCAGGGCAGCCAGGCTCCTAGGACAGGAAATCTCCATTGCACTGTGCTTTTGCATTGCTTGCACCATGGCTTGTGCTTTCCCATGAAGCCAAGATGGCATTTGAGTCAGCCAGGAAGCCACATGCATCGCATCTCAGGCTGTCAGGTGGAGTATGATGCTTCAGAATTGTGAGTACACTTTCATCACATAAAGAAGCCATGAGCAGGCTGGTAAGAAAATTCTAGCTTCATTAAAGAGAATGCCTCTGGGAAACCATAAAAAGTTAGGAGACATCCATGAATTTACAGTTGACCACGCCAATTGCATGGCTGAGCACCTGAAGCCTTAGACACAGGTCAGTGGAATGGCCTTGCCCGGACTCTTTCCAGAGGAGCCCAGCTAAAAGCTGCCTTCTGATTTCTACTTGGAACCCAAACTTGTAAACCTTGTAAACATTATCTGCCAGACCATAGCGGATCACAGAGTTCCCCTGTGTTTGGCTGCTGTCTTCCCAGCCTGTGATCCCTCCCTAGGGACTTGAATGAAAGGAATTGGACATTTGCTAACTGCATGGGGAAAGACTTGGCCCGTAATTTCTTGATAGGAAGTCTAGAGCTGCAGGTCCTGCTTGAACCCTGCCTGTCTCAGATCTGGTCTGAGATGACTGTGCCCTGCAGCACCAGGCTGTTGACTGGCAGAATTCTTGACAGCACCAAGTGATGGTTTGGTAAATTGTTGGTGAAAGTCAAATAAACTATGTTGAATAAGCTTCACAGTGCATTCAAATACTCTGTGACTCATTGGTTAGACTTTTTTAAACATCACCTACAGGGAACACACACTGACATTTTTGGGTTTAATGGTAATTGAAATATGACCCTCAAATCAATACGAATTGAGAAGACCAGGTAGGTAGATATCTTTAAGTCCTTCAGACAATACCCAAATGGTCTCTTAGTTTCCTAAAATCCAGTTGGTTCCCAGTCTCCTAGCATCTCAAACACAGAGATGGTCTGTGGTTCTCGGAGGTGGCATCAGAGGTACGTGATCATCTCCCTTCTCTCCCAGTTTACAATCCATGTGTAGTCAGCACTGGAGACCCACTCTTAGATGGACCCTAAGCCCTGTGTGAGAGGAGAGGGACACCCTCTGCTTTCCTCCTCCAATGCCTACAACAACTGTGGCTGAGCCTGGCCCAGTGCCTGAGCAGCAAGAACCCCATTGCTTGAATTGTCCCTGCTGCCTTGGCAGGTCTGCACTGGTTGGAAGCTGAGAACAGGCGCCTGAGCTGGCAGTTGAACCTAGGCACTGCCATGTGGGAATCATAACCAGATTACATGCCAAATCCAAGTGCTTATTATTTTTTTCAAGACCACTAAACATTACAAAGCATTTTGAATCTAGGAAGTTGAAATGTAGTGAAGTAGTGAAGACAGAAGTCAAACTCCTAGTATTCTCCCAGAAAGTTGTACTTCGTGTTCAGATGTGTGCTTGGGACTTGCATTGCAGGGCCCTTTCCATCCTGCTGGGTTCGTCAGTGTCAGATCACTGGGACTCCAATAAACAATATAACATAAAGGATATACCTCTAATGGCCAGGAGGGGGTGCTGGAAGTTAGCAGAACACAATGGAATTAAAAATACTTTCAAGGTAGGAAGCACAACCTTGAAAGCATATAGCAAATATAACAACATTACATTTTACAGAAAAATATAACTTCCTCATGAAGACAGGAATTCATCTCAAATTCCTAAACAGGCAAGAAAATACTTGGAACATAGACTCTGATGACGACCAGCATCTTTGGCTCTTTGTTAGCTAGATGGTCTCAGTTACTTAGCTTCTGATGATTTTTATTTCATTCGCAAATATAAGGACGGTTAACACCTGCAAGAATGAAACATAAACAATGTTTTACACTCAGTAAATGGTATGTGTTATTTAATGAATCTAAGATTTACATTATCATTTTTTCATTATTTTTTATTTTATGATATAGTTTCATAGACTCTGAGATTTCCCTTATCCCCTCCTCATATTTCCTCCCCCACCACTGATTTCCCCCATATTATTACATTAGTATGGCTGCTTGTGAAGGTCTGTAAAAATAAACATTTTACATAATGTTGTTAACAGTTACAATGCTGCAGAAATCAGTGCTTTTTGAGGTCCACAATATTCAGCTGGATGAATGCTATCTTTAGAAATGACTCTTTCCACGTAAGTATTTATTCACTTGGAAGAGCGTTGGATTGGAAGCAGAACAACCTGGAAGTGGATAGTGCCCGTATGGGGTGCTGGCAACGGCTTTACCTGCTACACCACAGCGCCAGCCCCTATCCAAGATTTGTCTTACCTGCTTCTGATTGCGGTCTTAGAGTTAGTTTCTATAATCTCAAATTGTGTTTAAAAATTTATGTCAGAGAGAGAGTGGTCTCACTTCCTAGTTCAGTCCCTGAAATGGCCATGAATGGGACCATTGCTGATCCAAATGTATGACTTATTTCATTAAAATATTGCATGGCGCTGGATTTGTAGGCCTTGGGTTTTTATATTCTAGTGCCAAACACTACATTTCTTTTATTTCAGTAGCTCCACAGTTCTTACATTCTGAAAGGCTTAGTTTACTACTTTATTGTTTTAAGAATGTTTTTACTGCAGTGTGATGATTATTTTATGATTCTTCAGTAAGAGAGAGAAGGTGAGATCGGGATAGTTTAGTTCGCAATGGCTGCATGGGCACAAACACTTGGAGCATCTCCCGCTGTGTAGGGAGCTGGATCTGAAGCAGACACTGGCATATAAACCCCAGCACACACATTAGATGCTGGCATCCCTGGAAGTAGTTTTACCTAGAATGCAACAATGCCAGCCTGTGCTTCCTCAATCTTAAACCATGAGCCTTCAGTCCCAGCAAGGATTTCCTGGGCTCCCTGGCACTTGAGCTTGCCTCCTGCCTGGGCACTGGGATATTGTGCTTTCAGAGCTATTCACTCAGAAGCTTTCCAGCCGTCCACCTCTGCAAAGGGGAGACCAACACAGGTGTCCAGCTCTCTAGCCCTCCACCTCTGCAAAGGGGAGACCAACACGAGTATCCCACCGTGCTCACTTTCCAGGCATGAGTGTATTTCCCTGCATGAGGGCCAGTGTGGGGATCCTCAGGTGTGCCACTCACATGCTGCCAGCATTTACTTGGTACTTTGCAGGTAAGTCCACCCATCTCCTCCAGGTCAATTGCAGATATCAGTATACATTCTGAATGTAAGGTCACAGACAAAATATAGATATGTTTAAACTATAGAATAAATAATGTATAAGTTTAAGTATATTACAAATATCACAACTACTGCATAAAATAGTATCGTGAAGTGCCAGCGCAAAAGTATAGTGGTTTAAGTCCTTGCCTTGAATGTGCCAGGTTCCCACATGGATGCCGGTTCTAATCCCAGCGGCCCTGCTTCCCATCCAGCCCCCTGCTTGGGGCCTGGGAAAGCAGTTGAGGATGGCCCAAAGTCTTGGGACCCTGCACCCACGTGGGAGACCTGGAAGAGCTTCCAGGCTCCTGGCTTCGGATTGACTCAGCTCCAGCCGTTGTGGCTACTTGGAGATTACCAGCGGATAGATCTTCTTCTCTGTTTCTCCTGTCTGTATATCTGCCTTTCCAATAAAAATAGATAAATCTTTAAAAAAAAAAAAAAAAGAAGTATCATGTACTTCTTTGGTATGTGTGGTGCGGTTTGGGGGATGGGACAAAAAAATTATGCACCCCTGACATGAAAAGAATGTTTGAGGATGATCAAACATCTAACAAATCCACCTGACTTCAGGTACACACACACACATGGTACACACACATGTGCATTTACCTTTGAGAGGAGTCAAAAGGAGCGAATGTCATGGTCTCAATTCATTCTGTTAAGGTGTATTCGGAACCTGTCAGATCTGCCATGAAGGTTCCCTGAAGTCTGTGTCCCCAGGCCAGCAAAGGTGGGTCAGGGCAGTGGGCAAGACGTTCCGTCTCGGGAGCAGGTCATGGCAGCAGCAGCCCGCACTGACCTTCGAATTGCAGGCAGTGAGCCTGATGTGGGGCTGCTCGCTGCACAAGGGAGCAGGCGAGCGAGTCCACGGACGCTGCTGCCCGTCCCACCTGCTTCCGCTGCTTCAGACTGGGCTCTGTGCCAATCCCTCCTGTTCCTCTAGAGGGCCTGCTCTCTTAGCTTCCACAGGAGGGCGCTCAAGAAATGGGTAGAACAGAGGCGGACTTCTCTCAGCACTGAGTCAGGAGATGGGTGTATTCGAAGAGGCACCCTTTTACTGCTTCTTGCTGTGACTTCAGGCAGGAAACCCACGCAACACACTTGCCTGGACCAATCCTTTTTATGAGAGGACATTCTGCTCTGTTTGTTACTTCATTCGGTTCGTTCTAAGGCCTAAGCGACGAAGGCATGCTGTGGTTTGTAGTCACACTTGCAGCTCTGCTACCTGCTGGTGAGTACGCTGCATGGTGCTGCATGGGAACTAATGTGATTCTCTCTACCCCTCTCTCTCTCAAGTCAAACTAAAGAATTACCGTTCTCTCATTATTCCTCATTGTTTGTTTTTGTTATTCTCATTGCAGGCAGTCAAATATCTCCCAACCCCGAAGAAACAACAACAGTGGTTATCAGGTCAGCTGGGTCATATGCTGTAATCACTTGTGGGATTGCTAAACAAAACGACTTCATGCACTGGTACCGGTACCAGGAGGGAGAGGTCCCACAACGCCTGCTCTACTATCAGTTCTCTAGTTCCTCTGTCATAACAGATCCTGGAATCAGTCCAACAAAATATCATGCTTATAAAGGACCACAGGAGAGCAGTAACTTCTTACTACGTAATCTGGAAGAAAGTGATTCTGGCGTGTATTTCTGTGCCACCTGGACTGGCACCGTGGTTCAGACCTGCCCAAAGCCACACTGAAAAAGTTGTTCCTTGTTCTGCACATACACCGCCCCTCACCCACTTCCTGCCACACACCCCCCTGTGCTCTGAACTAAGATCAATTCTTAAGTCCAACACCTCACCTGCACTCCATTCCAATGGCTTCACCCTGCTCCCCAAAATCACCCTGAAACTTAACACCCCACGATGTTTAACAGTCTAAGCTCCCCATTGGGACACTGGGCAAAAATCGAGCAAGTGGCAAAGTGCTTTTAGCTGTCCAAGCAGCTGCCTGGAAAGCCTTTCATCTGCTTTCAGTTGGACAAGTTCTCCCAGGGTTGGTCTGTTAGGAGAGCATCATAGGAAGTGATACTGAATCTTTATCTAATCAGCAAGTTTACACATATTCTCATGCTTAAGCTTGTAAATGAAAGAAGTATTTCAGTCACACTAAAGGTTTTAGAAAGGAAGAGAAACAAATATCCAGTTAACATCCATGTACTTTTGTTAAATCTTGGCATTTTAGCACATTTGCCTCATATTTTGTAACTATTATGGTTGATACGACTAAAAACTCCGAGCATATAACCATCAATCCTTCCCCTTCCCGTCCCAGCGGTAATCAGCACCTTGACTTGGGTGGCCAGCATCTCATTCAGGCTGCACAGGCATGTTTCTAGAATAATTCAGTTTTCAACAAGCTTTAAAATTATAAATAAGATACATTCTTACATCCATTTCTATTTCTTCTCTACTACAAAGTTGTTTTTTTGAATACTCACTCTTGCTGTTATGCAAGCCTTTGGGTGATTACCCCTCAATCAGAATGCCACATTCTGCACCTGACTATGCGACCATTCTCATGCAACATCTTATTCTTAAAGAGAACTTGTGGGCTGCTCAGAGAAAGCTTATGTTGTTTTTAAAAATGATTTATTTATCTATATATTTAAAGTCAGAGAGAGAAAGAGAGAGAGGGATTCTTCCATCTGCTGGATTCCTACCCAGATAGCCACACTGGCTGTGGTTGAACGAGGAGTCAAAAAATTCATCCAAGTCTTTTAGAAGGTACAGGAGCTCAGACGCTTGGCTCACCTTCTGCTGTGTTCAGAGCTGTTCACAGGGCAGCTTCCCACATATCACACGTGGTTTGCAGACAGAAGAAAAACCCACAGAAATCTACTTTGCTCAATTTCCAACTGTCATGTCAACTGTAAGAATATTACCTGAAAGAGGACAAAGCAATGAGGAAGTAGAGCATGGTTCTATGTTTTACTAAGTCACCTAAAAAATACAAACACATTCGGAGCTGCAGTGGTGGAAATCTATACATGTGCCACTAAACGCTAGCAGCATTTCACGCTGTATGTTGTGTTCCCATCTGTAAGCCTGTCACTCCCACATCAATTGCAGACACTAGTATACATTCTGAATCGAGGGTTGCCAAACAAAATATAGAAAAATGAATTCTAGATGAACAACAAATATTTTCTTTTAGTTTGAGGATATCTCAACTATTGCAGGACACAGCATCCTGTACTTATTCTTGAGTGGTAAAGTAAAACGTGCAGCCCTACCTTGTGAGTGGTGGTTAATCTGACAGTATTTGAGGATGACCAGAAGCATTCTAGCAAATCATCTTAAGCACACACACACATTTATTTTGAGGGTGTCAGATGTCTTCAGCATCACTGGTCTCACTATATTAAGAAGCTGGAGTCAAAGCTTGTCAGATGTGCCCATGGAGGTTTTCCCAGAGTCTACTCACAGACATCAGTGAAGGTGGGTTAGAGCAATTAGAACAACCTGTCTCGGGGCAGCTTGTGACAGCAGCACTCCCACGTGAAAACTCAACGTTGCAGGGACTGAGCCCCATGCTGGACTGCCAAGGCTGCCCGCTGCCCAGGGCAACTGGCCACCTTCCCAGCCCTGCACTCCACCTGCTTCACTCTGAGCTCTCAGCTCCTCACTCTCTACCTCTGGGAGCACTTGCGCGCAGCGGCCACAGGAGGGCACTCACGAGCACAAGTGCACTCCCAGCCAGGGCCTCTGCACTCATCACTCAGCACTCAGCACTCAGGGTGCAGGGCTGAGGATTTTGTAGGACAGACCTGCCTGCTGCTGCTCCCTGCTGGGACGTCAGGCAGGACACTCAGCTCCAGCACACTTGCTGGATCCTGTCCCTTTTGAGTAGGATTACAAGCCTGAGGATTATTGGCTCCCCTTGTCATCCTTGATTCTTTCCTTCCAGGGAAGTTCTCAGAGGAGAAGGGTATGCTGTGGACTGTAGCCCTATTTGTAGCTTTCCTTGCTCCTGGTGAGTATGTTGCATAGATGCTATTGGGATGAATTTTCTCTTTCACACACATCTCTTTCCCTCTCATCTGCCACAGCAGGTCATGCTAAAGAACTGCCATTACATGTTTTCTCATTATCATTTCTGTTGCCATTGCAGGCATTCCAGTAACTGCCAACCCAGAACAAAGGACAGTGGACATTCACTCAGCTGGGTCATCTGCTACAATCTCTTGTGGGATTTCTCAACAAAGTGACTACATCCACTGGTACCGATACCAGGAGGGAAAGGCCCCACAACGCCTTCTCTACTACGTGTTCTCTAGCTCTTCTGTTGCGGTGGATTCAGGATTCAACCCAAGGAAATATCAAGCTTATGAAGGCCCAGGGAAGAGTTGTAAATTCGTAATACGTAATCTGGAAGAAAGTGATTCTGGAGTGTATTTCTGTGCCACCTGGGCTGGCACAATGATTCAAATCTGCACAAAACCACACTAAAAATGCTGCTTGCTGTGGTCCCTGGTGCTGCAGATACACTGCTCCCCTGCCCCCAGCTACCTGCTCCTCACTGCACTGTGTTCTGACAAAGATGAACTGAGTCCAACTTCTAACCCTGCACTTACACGCCACTCCCCTCTCAATGACTTCACCCTGACTCAGAGCCTCAGTCCTGAATCTTACACCCCAGGATAATTTAGAGACGAACCTTCCACTTAAGACATTCACCAAAAGCCGAGCAAGTGGCAGGATGCCTCAGTTTTCCAAGGGGGTGACTGGAAATGCTTTCATCTGGTTTCTAGGATAGACGAAGTCTCTAAGGGTTGGTGGGTTAGGAGAACCTTATAGGAAGTAATATCGGATCTTTATCCGATCAACAAGTTTATGTTCTCATTCCTATGCTGGTACATTATTAAAATATTCATACTGAAGCTACACAGAGGCATGAACCACTCACTCCTGCGAAAGCATCACATTTTAACACATTGGCCTCTTGCTTTGTACCTGTTCTTGTTATACAGCTCCAAGCTCTGAGATGACACTGCCATGCCCATCCTTCCCCTTCTCATCCTGGTGGTAACCAGCCCCTTGTCTTGGGTGGACCTCATCTCACTCGAGCCGCACAGGTGTGTATCTAAATGAATACACACTTTTCAGCAAGCTTTAGAATGCATACACATGATAGACACATCAATTCCCAGTTTTTCTCTATTATGCGGTGGTCTATTGAATGCTAACTCTTGGTAACCTGCATGACATTGGATTTTGAATCTTAATCAATACACATCATTTGACAGTCTGATCTGATGACCATTTACTCATGCACCGTCTTATTCCTAAAGAGAACTAGCGGGTTTGCTTTGGGAAAACTTCAAAAACTTCCACTGGAATTTTTGGAGTTTATACAAAGAGTGCTGATAGGTCTACGTTATCAAACCTTTTAGCTGTAAGAGTTAGAAAACGCTGGTTTCAATGGGGTAAGTCGAGCTCGAACACCTCAGGTAAATGTATGCATACTGCACAAGTTTACATCTCCAAGCTAAAAGAAAGCCGGTGTCACGAAGGCCTCAGAGTGGATGGCATCCAGCACTTGAACGTCACAACTACCCCCTCTCTCCAGCTTCCTCATCTCTTATCTCAGCCAGTTCCCATGTGGCATCCTCATTTTCTAAGCTCAGAACGCCTGGTTGTGGTTGTGTCCAGAGACACATCCTCACAGTATTTTGATGAAGGCATTTGTTTTCCCCATCTCCAGGCAAAGAGAAGGCCTATGCAAGCTCATCTGACATAGCATCCATAAACAAACGGTCTAGGTATTTATTGTTTCCAGTTTCACATCCAATCCAGTACTTCTACATGATAACATGGGAGAAACACAGTATTCATCTCTACCTGATGAAGTAATTACCCAAAGATGACATCTAGAATAATCTGTGATTTCCTTGCTGACTTGAATGGGCAGCCTCATCCTATGTTACAATATTGCATGCAGGTGTTTTTGTGTCCATTGAAACTTTACATTCTAGAGTGTGAGTTCAGCCCCAGAAACAGAGAGAGATGGACACACACACACACACACACACACACACATTCACACAAACACAAAGAGAGAGGCAGACAGAAAGAATCTTCCATCTGCCGGGTTACTCCCCAGATACCACAATGGCTGTGGTTGAAAGTTCTTCTCTGCCTTTCATAGGGATCGGAGTCCAAACACATGGCTCATCTATGCTGCTTTCCCAGGTCATTGGCAGGGAGTTGGATCACAAGTAGAGATGCTAGGACACAAACTGGCATCAGTGTAGGATCCAGGAATCTCAGGCAGTGGCTTTACTCTGCCACCGCACTGGTCCAGGGAACCTTAAACCAGCAAGGATTTCCCAGTGTCCAAACCTCTTGAGCTTGTCGTCCTATTCGGGCAAAGTTATTTTGCATTCAGAGCTGTTCACACAGCAGCGTCTCATTCCTCCCATGCGGTTCTGCAGACAAAAGGGAGACCCACAGACGTATATTTTGTTCATCTCCTGATTCTCACAGCAACAGCAAATATACTGCCTGAAAGAGCTTGAAGCACTGAGAGAAGTAGACCATGCTTCTCTGTGCTACTGAGTCCGTTTGACACACCCTCCCACATTCATGGCTGCAGTGTTGAAAACCTGCAGATGTACCTGTAAGTGTAACGTATTTGTTATGTTCCCACCTTCCAGCTATCACCCCCAAATGATTCATAAACACCACTTCACGTTCTGAATGGAGGATTGCCAAACAAAACAGTGTACATTTGAATTCTAGATCAACAGCAAACAACTTCTTTAACTTTCAGTGTTGCAAATATTGTATGACACAGCATTATGAATTTATTCTTGAGTGGTATAGTAAAACTTGCAGCCCTACCTTGTGTGGGGCGGTTAATCTGATGGTACTGGAGGATGATCAGAAACCTTTCTAGCAAATCATCTTAAGCACACACACACACACACACACACAAACACACACACGCGTTTGTTTTGAGGGTGTCAGATGTCTTCAGCATCACTGGTCTCACTATATTAAGAAGCTGGAGTCAAAGCTTGTCAGATGTGCGGCTGGAGGTCAGTGAAGGTGGGTTAGAGCAATTAGAACAACCTGTCTCGGGGCAGTTTGTGACAGCAGCACTCCCACGTGAAAACTCAGCATTGCAGGGACTGAGCCGCATGCTGGACTGCAAGGGGCAACTGGCCACCTTCCCAGCCCTGCACTCCACCTGCTTCACTCTGAGCTCTCAGCTCCTCACACTCTACCTCTGGGAGCACTTGCACGCAGCGGCCACAGGAGGGCACTCACGAGCACAAGTGCACTCCCAGCCAGGGCCTCTGCACTCAGCACTCAGCACTCAGCACTCAGCACTCAGGGTGCAGGGCTGAGGATCTTGTAGGACAGACCTGCCTGCTGCTGCTCCCTGCTGGGACGTCAGGCAGGACACCCAGCTCCAGCACACTTGCTGGATCCTGTCCTTTCTTGAGCAGGATTACAGTTCTGAGATTTTCTGCTCTCCTTATCATCCTTTTATTCTTTCCTTCCAGGGAAGTTCTCAGAGGAGAAGGGTATGCTGTGGACTGTAGCCCTATTTGTAGCTTTCCTTGCTCCTGGTGAGTATGTTGCATAGATGCTATTGGGATTCTTTCTCTCTTCTCTCTACCTCTCTCTCTCTCCTCTGTTCTCCCTCCTACCATCTCTCATCTCTTTCCCTCTCATCCGCCACAGGAGCTCATGCTAAAGAACTACCACTTCATGTTTCTCATTATCATCATTTCTGTTGCCATTGCAGGAAGTCAAGTATCTGCCAACCCAGGACTAGCAATGACACTGGTCTCCCAGGCAGCTAGGTCATCTCCTATAATCACTTGTGGGCTTTCTAAACAAAATGACTTCATGCACTGGTACCGGTACCAGGAGGGAAAGGCCCCACAACGCCTTTTCTACTATCAGTTCTCTACTTCCTCTGCTGAAATGGACTCAGGAGTCAATCCAGAAAAATATCATGTTTATATAGACTCAGAAAACAGATGTAAACTCGTAATACGCAATTTGGAAGAAAGTGATTCTGGAGTGTATTTCTGTGCCACCTGGGCTGGCACAGTGGTTCAAATCTGCCCAAAACCACACTGAAAATGTCCCTGTGGTTGTTTCTGGTACCCCAGAGACACTGTCCTCGCCCACCCCTCACTTCCTGCTTCTCGCTCCACTGTGTTTTGAACCAAGAGAATCTTTGAGTCCAACTCCTAAGCCTGCACTTACATCCCTCCCCCGCTCCGTGGCTGTACCCTTCCAGAGTCTCATTCTGAACTTTACACACCAGAAACCTTTAGAGACTGGAGTGCTGGCTAAAGACTGCCGCAGTGACTGCACTCTCAGGTTTCCAAGGAGCTGACTGGAAGCCTTTATCCGGCTCCCGGGTGAGCGAGGCTTCCCAAGCCTGTCCTTTAGGAGAGCATTGTAGCTAGTTACATTGAGCATCCACTCAGCAAGTTTATACATATTCTCATGCGTAAGCTTGAAAATGAATGAAATACTTCAGTCAAACTGAAAATTTTAGAGAGCAAGAAAAACAAACACTGAGGTATCAACCATGTACTTTTGATAAATTTTCACATTTTAACACATAACCTCATATTTTATATATAGTATTGTTGATGCAGCCAAAATCTCTGACATGATACTGCCATGGCCATCCTTCCCCTTCTCATCCCAGCGGTGACCAGCACCTGTCTTGGGTGGCCCACATCTCACTCAAGCTGTACCCACTTAGGCATGTACCCACTATGTTACTGGTGGATTCTTTAAGCACGTACACAAACAATGCACAGTTTCTAACGAGCTTCTAAACTTAAAAATAGAGTATATGCTTAAATCCACTCCCATTTTTCCTCTATTGCACAGTAGTCTTTTGAATACGTACTCTTGCTAATATGGATTAGTTATCTTAATCATTATGTGGCGATGGCAGCCTGACCATTAGACCACTTACCCATGCAGCATTTTATTCCTAAACAGAACTTGTAGCTTTGTTTTAGGAAAATTTCAAAAATTTCCATTGGAGTTTTTGGAGTTTATACAAAGAGTGTTGATAGGTTTACCTTATTAAGCGTTTTACCTGTAAGGGTTGGGAATGTTTGGTTTCAATGGTGTAAGTCAAACTCCACCGCTTGAGGCAAATGTACGCATACTGTAGAAGCTTATGTCTCCAAGCTCAAAGAAAGCGGTGTCACCTACGCCTCAGAGTGTCACAACTACCTCCTGCCTCGTTTCTTACCTCTTGCTCAGCCGTTTCCCATGTGGCATCCACATTTTCCAAGCTCAGAACACCCGGCTGTGGCCGGTCCTCACAGATGTCACCCAGCAGGCTGACGTGTGTTAGTTTAGTCTGCGTGCTGGAAAGCAGTGGGCTGGATTCTACTCCTCGGGGTTGCATGAGCCTGGGATCGTTACTCATCCTGACAGGATGTCACAAATTCACACCTACGTGGGGCCCGGTGAGGTGGCTGGTAGCACTGAGCTACTTTTGATGCCTACAAGACAAAATCAGCACATTTGTGGAAAATGGCAATAGATATGCGTACGTTGTCGTAGCAAATCTGATATCCATGCACGGTCCTCCATTACAACCATTTTCCATAATTGAATAGTTTGGAAAATGATTAGGTCCATTTTTAAGGATGTCTTCATATGGTTATTTTCTTGTATGTAAATATTCACATTTTTTAATTCCAGCATTTGATGAACTCTCAGATTTTTAATTACCGTTGTCAGATGATATCTCCCCAGGGTTTCTACTTGTTACATTGTCTTGGTGCCTTTATCATGGATACATCGAAGACATGTTTTTATGAAACAACTACTGCAGAGATGAGAATGAGCAGAAGGAATGGCACATGAGGGTGCTCGTTCTGTTATGGCTCCTGTGGCAGCCACATGACACAAATAACACCACTTGGGGCCCGGCGCGATAGCCTAGTGGTTAAAGTCCTTGCCTTGCATGCGCCAGGACCCATTTTGGGCATCAGTTCTAATCCTGGCGAATATGCTTCCCATCCAGCACCGTTCTTGTGGCCTGGGAAAGCTGTGGAGGATGGCCCAAAGCCTTGGGACCCTGCACCCGCGTGGGAGACCCAGAAGAAGCTCCTGGCTCCTGGCTTCAGATTGGCTCAGCACCAGCCATTGTGGTCACTTGCAGAGTGAATCATCGGACAGAAGATCTTCCTCTCTGTCTCTTCTCCTCTCTGTATATCTGGCTTCCCAATAAAAATAAAGAAATATTTTAAAAAGAATGGGATTTGTTCTTTACTTTGCATCCCATTATTTGTAATTTGAGTCATCGTTGTTGCACAAGTGTGTTTTTCTTCCTTCGTCAGGTGCCTTTTCATGCTATTTCCTCCTTGTTCTCACAGAGCATTTTGTAATTTTCTTAACTGTTTGCAAGAGTCTTAAGCATCATGTTGGAGACATTAGTCTTTTAGTAAATGTGCTGAAAAGGCTTTTTCTCACTCACTATGTGGGTATTTTGGTGGAAAGAGATTTGAAGGGCCTGGCACTGTGGTGTAGTGAGTGAAGCCACCGCATGTGGCCCCAGCATCGTATAACGTGCTCGTTCCTGTGCCGGCTGCCCGCTTCTGTTCCTGCTTCCTGCCCGTGAGCTGGACAAAAGAGTGAATGATGAACCAAGTGCTCCCACTCCTGTCACCCTCATGGCAGACAGACATGAAGTTTTGGTTCCTGGGTTCAGCATGCCCAACCCCAATTCTCTGGGCCATCTGGGAAGTTATACTGGGGATGAAAAGTCTTTCTCTGTCTCTTCCTCTCTCACTGTAATTCTGACTTTAAAGTGAATTTTAAAAATCTGTTAAAAAAGGAAAAGAAGCTTGATTCTTATTCTGAAAACCTTAAGATTAGATTTATATAAGCAACTACAATATTTTAATTAAGGCATCTGTTTTTTCACCCAGGCATAGAGAAGGCCTATCCAAGCATACTTGATATGGTATTCACAAACATTAATCCTAAGGATTTGCTGTTTCCAGTTTTATATCCAACCATCTACTTCTAGATGATAGTGTGGTAGACACACACTATTTGAAATGGCAAACTCGTTTACAAGGGCGAACATCTGGAATGATCCATGTCTTCCTTGCTGGCTTGCATGTGCAATTTCATCACATGTTACAATATTGCATGCAGGTGCTTTTGTGCTCACTGAAACTTTATATTCTAGAGCCAAAGACTGTACTCCTTTCTTTAGAGTGGTTTTACTTCCTGGTGGGATAATTTTTAACTTTTTTTCAAGATTTTTTCTTTCTATTCCAGTGTGATGGCAATTTCCTGCTTACTCATTTTTAAAAAATAGTTTTCATTTATGTATCTAATGTCAGAGACACAGAAGGAAGAGTTGGAGAGACAGAAAGAGAGAGAAAGATTCTTGCATCTGCGGGCTACTACCGCAATGGCTGGGGCTGAATGTGGAGCCAAATAATTTATCTAAGTCTGTGAGTGGGTGTAGGAGCCCAAATATTTGGATCATTTTCTGCTGATTTCCCAGGTCATTGGTAAGGAATTGGATCCCAACTGGAGATCCTGGGATGCACTCTGGCATCAGTGTGGGATATGCAGGTACCTCAGGCAGTGGCTTTACTCACTCAGCCACAGCACTGGTCCCGTGAGTCTTGTCCCAGCAAGGATTCCCCAGTGTCCAAGCCACTTGCACTTGCCTTCTGTTTCAGGCAAGAGTATTTTACATTAGGGGCTGCTCACTCAGCAACTCCCCAAACCTTACTTTATGGTTCTGCAGACAACAGGGAGACACACAGGTGAAAAAAAGTCTGTTGACATATGCAGAAACCCCAATAGACTCACAGCTGACCTCTCAGAGGAAACACTACAGACCAGAGGAGAATGAAGTGACATATTGCAGTCAAAGGGGGAAAAAAAAAAAAAACTGTCAGCACAGAATTATACCCAACAAAGCTTTCCTTTGTCTTTGAAAATTAAATAAAATTCTTCCACAGCAGAGAAAAGCTCTATGAATTTGACTCTTCTGGACCTGCCCTTAAAAAATGTTATTTACAGACGTTCTCTCAACAGAGAAAAGGAATAGCACCTACCAAACCCCCAAAAGGAAAAAAAAAACCCCACTAAACCCAAAGGCAAATGTGGAGCGTATCCAAGTAAAAAACAGCAGAAGACTAAAGAACAACCGATTTCTAAACTGACAGGACCAAATTACCACCTATCCATAGTAACCCTAAATGTAAAAGGCTTAAACTTATCAATCAATGCCAAAGATTAGTGGACTGGATCAAAAAACAAAACCCAACTATCTGTTACCTACAGGAGACACATCTCGCCAACAAAGATAAGTAGAACGTAAAAGTGAAAGGATGGATTCAGATATTCCACGGTAACAGAAAGGCAAAGTGAGCTGACACAGCCATTCTTAGAGCAGATAATATCAACTTTCAGTGAAAACCATTAAAACGGATGAATAAGGACACCACACAGAGACCAAAGATCCAGCCAGAAAGAAGAGATCACCATAATAAATGTATACTCACCAAAAGGCTGGCACCTACCTACACGAAACAAATATTAACAGATTCAAAGGGGGAAAATAGACTCCAAAACAATAATAGTGGTGAACCTTAATGTCCCATTAACATCAATGGACAGATTAATGAGACAAAAACTCAGCAAGGAAACAAGAGAGCTCGCATGGACACGAGAGCAAAGGGATTGATATCTCCCGAACCTGACCTCCTATAGACAGAGGTCACACTCTTTCCCTTCAGTATATGAAACTTTCTCCAGCACTGACCATGTTAGAGGCTACAAAACAAGCCTCAGCATAAGTCTGAAAATTGAAATTATACCATGCATCTTCTTAAATCATGCTACTAAATGAGCAATGGGTTACAGAGTAAATCAAAGGGAAAATTTAAAAATGGTGCAAACAAGTGGAGGCATGAACACAATGTATCGACACTCATGGGACACAATTCGAGAGGAAAGTACATCTCAAACAATACTTAAGAAATTACAAACACCAACCTGCATCCGAAGGACCTAAAACAACAACCGCAGAGCAATACCCAAGTTACCAGGAAAAATAAGGGAGGAAATAAACCAAACAGAGACCAAAACCATTACATAAGCTCAATGAATCAAAATGTTGATTCCTTAAGAAATCAACAAATAATTTTACCCACGGGCCAACTAATAAACGCATCAATAGGATCAGAAAACAAAAAGAAAATATAACAAAAGATACCTCAAACTTAATAGAAGTATTAGGAACTATGAGAAACAACTGAAGGCCAACAAATCATACGACCTAGGAGACATGAATGAATTTTTGGAAAAGGGAGACCTACAGAAATCTACTTTGTTCATTTCCCCATTGTCACGGCAACAGAAGATATATTACCTGACAGAGGGGCAAGCATGACGGAAGTAGAACATGGCTTTATGTTTCACTGAGTCCTTCTAACAAACATCCAGATGCATTCACAGATGTGGGCTGAGAATCTGCAGATGTGCCACCTAAGTGTTAGCAGCTATTTCCATACATGTGCTGTTCCTGTATCTCCACATATCACTCCCAAATGAACCATAAATACCGGTACACCTTCTGAATCGAGGGTTGCCAAACAAAATATAGGCAATTTGTAGTCTAGATAAAAAACAAATACCTTTTTTTTAGCATCAATAAATCCCAAATACTGAATGAAACAGCACCCTGTACTTATTCTTAAGTGGTATACTAAAACTTGCAGCCCTACTTGGAAGCAATCTAACAGTACTGGAGGATGATCAGAAACCTTTCTAGCAAATCATCTTACACACACACGCATTTATTTTGAGGGTGTCAGATGTCTTCAGCATCACTGGTCTCACTATATTAAGAAGCTGGAGTCAAAGCTTGTCAGATGTGCCCATGGAGGTTTTCCCAGAGTCTACTCACAGACATCAGTGAAGGTGGGTGAGAACAATTAGAACAACCTGTCTCAGGGCAGTTTGTGACAGCAGCACTCCCACGTGAAAACTCAGCATTGCAGGGATTGAGCCCCGTGCTGGACTGCCAAGGCTGCCCGCTGCCCAGGGCAACTGGCCACCTTCCCAGCCCTGCACTCCACCTGCTTCACTCTGAGCTCTCAGCTCCTCACTCTCTACCTCTGGGAGCACTTGCACGCAGCGGCCACAGGAGGGCACTCACGAGCACAAGCGCACTCCCAGCCAGGGCCTCTGCACTCAGCACTCAGCACTCAGCACTCAGCACTCAGGGTGCAGGGCTGAGGATCTTGTAGGACAGACCTGCCTGCTGCTGCTCCCTGCTGGGACGTCAGGCAGGACACCCAGCTCCAGCACACTTGCTGGATCCTGTCCTTTCTTGAGCAGGATTACAGTTCTGAGATTTTCTGCTCTCCTTATCATCCTTTTATTCTTTCCTTCCAGGGAAGTTCTCAGAGGAGAAGGGTATGCTGTGGACTGTAGCCCTATTTGTAGCTTTCCTTGCTCCTGG